ACCGATCAAAGCGAAACCTAACGATTGTATTTGCTGGGGATGTGGGCGAGAGTTTGGGAGCATTAACTGTGCAAACTGCAAGCTAGGTGCCTTTTTGTTTCAAGTTATCACACGTATAAATCTCAAAACTATTTATAGCCAAATGCTCTATCACAAAAATCAGCTAAAAACAGTAAAAAAAAAAAAAAAATCAGAAAAAAAAAATGCAATTAATTTGCTCAGCATTTCAGTATTATCAGCACCAAAAGTTATAGCATGTTGGGGCCGATTTGGTGCATTGTCCAAACGCTTGTTGCTCTATAAATAGTACAGTGGGAATGGTGGGGTGGGGGGAGGGATGGTCTTATCACTTCTCCCCCCCCCCCATGCCCAGCCCAGTTCGCAATGCCAACGTCCGCTGGACGTCCCCCGCCCGCTTGTGCCCGTTTCGCGTAAACCACCCCGCCCCCCCAGCTCTTATCAACGATGACAGCATAAATCGAAAAAACAAAAAAACAAAAAAACAAAAACAACATCAATCGAACATATGAAAAGTGCTTTGGAAAAACAAAAACCTTTCTGCCAGAGCACACCTGTTGCTGCTACCAATATCTGTTCGACATAAATAGTATCTAGCAGGCAGGTACTGGGCCCATTCCTGGCGCTCATTTCTGGGGGTGGATTGTAAAATTTGTAAAATTCAATGGAAAATTTCCGTAAACAAACAGGTTGGGTTGTACGGATTTTGTACGGCTTTACAGCGTCGGTCGTTATTGCGTCAAATGTCAAATTGCGGCAAATTTGTCCGCACAGCAGACGTCAATCTACATACATACATACATATGTACATATGTACATATGCATGTACCGTGTTGTGCTTGTACCCACCGGACTGCATCGGATTTGACCGGACACCGCTGCCATATGCCATATGCCATATGCCATACGAAAATGTGCATTGCATATATGTATGTATGTATATTTTGCTCGATTTTTGGCATGTTATTGCTTTTCTCTTAATCATCAGTTATTGCTACGTGCTACGGGAGGGGCGGGGACCCGCCGCCTACTGTGCGTTAAGCCACTGTATCGGGGCCCGAAATCCGCCTGAGAGCAGGTCGCGATGGGCCCCGGATCCAGATCTCAGGCGTACGCGGCGGCGGCGGCTGCCTGTGTCGGGGCCCGAAAATATCATTATGACCGGGGGGTGCCTGGTCCCGGTCCCAGACCCAGACCCACAACAGCATCTAAAATCAGACACACACCAGTAAGCAGCACACTTGGCAATTGACTTTGATAAGGCTGACTCAGTACGCCGTCGTCGCTGCCGTCGCCGTTGCCGCTGCCGTTGCCGTCGCATTCGTTATGAGAGGGGACACAGCACACACAACAGAGGAACGAAACTCAATCGGGGCCGGGGCCTGAACATGCCTCTGATGTCTGGGCCTTTTGTACTCTACTCTGGATGTAGCTGGCAACCTTGAACTTGGCTGCCAAATACACTCGTCCTCTCTCGCTCTCTCTCTCTCTCTGCCCCTCTTTGGCGTGCACTTTGCATCCAACAAAAAAAAAGCGCAGGGCGTGCGCCACTAATCTGCGGCATAAACAGTGAAGTAATCTCTCCCTCTCTCTCTCTCTCTACCTCTAGTCGTATCATTCGAAATTCTGGATGCATGATTGGGCTGGGGCTTGGGCTTGGGCCCCGTTTGCCAGCTAAATATTATATTTCAGTTTAATTAGATTTACTTACCGTGTGCCACATTGTTAATGCAATCCAGATAGCGTGTGCCTTCCTCATCGAACATATACTGACCCTGTCCGCGCACGATTTTCAGTGGATCAGAGCGATAGAAGAGCTGGCAGGCTTGCCTGGAAAAAAACACGGCCAGGCGAATAAAGAATAAAGGGAATAAGTGCTTGGAAAGATACGCAAAACTAGGCCACTTGCCCTCCAATTACAAAGTGTGTGGGTAATAAAATTAAATGACGTAGCTAACGCTGAGACTGTACTCTCTGTATGGGCAGGTGGGGCCTAGGATCCAGAGCCCACGTACAACTCACTCGTACCTGTGTGATATTTTTCCCACTGCCACTGCGATTATCGTGTTTGTGTTAAGCGAACAAATACATTCCCGCAGGGCGATCTGCAACTGTTTGGCTTGCAATGTTTGATAAACATTTTACGAGTCGAGTGGGGTGTGTGGTGTGTGGTGTGGAGTGGGTACTGTACTTGAGGCAAACAAAGCAATAATAAACACGATCTATAACCGATTAAACAATCATTTTAAGTACTTCTTTGCTGCTTTGAATATGCATTTTAATATTGTTCTTTGTGGGCAGTTTGTTTGCCACTTTCTAGGGGAAAACTTTGATTGAAATTCTCAAATTGCTTCCATCAATATGGGTGCTGCTCGGATGCTGCTGCTTTTGTTGCCAAGCGTTGAAAAATAATCAATAGCCAAAGAGCCAAAAATAAATGAATGCGGCGTGTCGTGGCGTGGCGTGGCGTCTACTTTCGGCCAAAAAAGTTTTCAACTTTTGTTGTTGCTGCTGTTGCACGTGGCAACCGAAAGGGAGAGCAACAGAGCAGAGCAGAGCAGAGCAAAGGAGAGCAAAGCAGCGACGAGCCCGAAGAGCAGACGGCGACGCGATGAGTGTCGGTTTGGGGGATGGGGATGCCATGCCGCCCGCTTGACCTTGACAGCCAAACGGAACTCAAGGGAAGGTCGGCCAGCACAACAATGGGGCAGGATGTGCAGGCTAATAAGAAGGATGCTGCGCTGCTTGTCTCAAAGGATACACGAGTATGCGTGCATGCACGTGTTATATGACTACCCACCCAGTGGGGCAGGGAGAGCTGTTTGGGGGGGCCACTTACCCTATATGTTTGTTTCGCAGCTTGATGGTCTCCGTCTTGGACAGCTGTTCGCTGGCCACCACCGCCACCGACTTTGATTGCTCTTGTGCGAAAGGCATTTTTGAAAATAATGATTTTTGGATTTGATTGGATTTGATTTAAATTAAGTTTCGGAATTTCGCGCACTTTTGCTTGGAGTAAGCTTGAGTAGCAAATCGCCAACTGCTAACTGCAAACTGCAAGCTGCAACTGTAACTGTAGATGCAAGTGGGCAACTGTTAGGCTGTTGTTATCCCGGCAAAAGGATATGTGGCACTGATTGTGTTGGGATGATTATCGCTGGCTAAAGGCACGGGACGCCTTCACGTCTTTGGGTGCTTGGAAATTGTCGCCGAATGACAAATTCTATGCGAGAGTGTAGCATTTTTATAACAGGGCCACTCACTGTCGAGCGCTGTTGTTGCTGTCGCGCTGCTGTTGCTGCAGCCGGCTGCTTATGGTAGGCACTGTACTGTTGTTGTTGTCTGCCTGTTAGCAGTCGGTTATCGCTGCACTGCTGACACTGCTGTTGCTGTTAGAATTGCCACTGTTACTATTGCTGCTGCTACTCTCTCTCTCTCTCTCTCTCTCTGCCCGTGTGTGTGTGTGCGAGCATTTGAGTGAGAGTGTGTGCGCGGCCAAAGTATATTAGGTGAAAGGTAAGCCGCCCAATACCAAAGAGTCCACTGATACTGGAACTTCCTTACCCTCTATTAAATGAACCTTGGACCTGTGTACGTGTTGTGTGTGTGTGTTGCTGTAAATGTATCGCACGACAGCATGCACGTGACTCGACCGTTCTGCTACTATATCACTATCCCTCTCTCCACCAATCACACGCTCCCTCTCTCAATCACACGCGTAATCTCTTCGCTTGGTGCATGGGCGCGTGTGTGTGAGCGTTCCTCTGTGATAGCACCAAATCACACAGATAGGAATTTGGCGCAACGAACGTGCATAGGGCCAGAGCAAGGTGCATTTACACAAGGTGAAGCCATTGCCGGAGGATGCTCGTGCTCGTAGATGCTAGTCAAGAAGCTAAGCTTCAGCTTTTTTTATTTCAAAAAGTTTCACTTGAATGATAATAATTATATGATTATGATGAGCAGATAGATGTATAAGCTATGCATAAATATGTAATTGAAAAAAAGTTTGCATTCGACTTGGCTAACTTGTCTAATTTGAAATTACACAGTTATTTATGTAAGGGGCGCACCATCGATAGTGACACTTCAAGCATATACTCGACATATCGTTAATCTTCCATCTCTAACGGACTGACGCGTAGGACTTGGTGTTTTAGCTTAATTTTCATTATTCCTTTTTGGCAAATTGAAAATGAACGAAATGGAAAGCAGCAGCGATAGCAGCTCCTATTCGGAACTCAACTGCATCAACACCAGCAGCTTCGCTTCGGCGGTCAGCTGCAATGTGGGCATCAAACGTCCACACGAAGGGGCAGGAGACTCCACCAATACCGAAGGGGATGGGCCCAAGGAGATGAAGCGGTTGCGTGAGGAGCTGCCCGAAACTCTGGGATCAGATGGAGATCAGATGTCCACGTCCAATTCGTTGCAGTCAGTTCAGAACCAGAACATGGACAGCGAAAGTGAAGGCGAGGAAAACCCAAATCCCAGCAACCAAGGCAAAAAAGGCTGGAAGCGCTGCTTGTTCCTGTAATTGAATTCACTGAAATGGAAATCATTGCGTTTTTATTTTTCTTTTGTTTTGTAAAAAATAAACCCGCCAAGTAAACATAGATTGAGTGGAACTACATTCGAGGTTATGGAGCCCTTTTAGATGGGCCAAAGACTCGCTGGTGGCCGCAACGCCTCGTCTGTTTCCTCTCGCTAATCGTACTCGTTCTCTCATGAAAGCGGGTACCGGTGGAAAGCCTTTCCACTCGCCGTGGCAATGGAAGTGACCTTCTCGATTTTTGCTCATCTGAAATGAAATAAAAGGCATTTTTCTTTATTCGAATTAACCTGTGAACAGGTTATGCCACCTGTGCCACCTGCATGCAGAATTCAATCATTTTGCCAGTCCAGCAAAATATTTTGTAGCTCTGAATGCTAGACTTAGGAATCTAAAATAATACAATTGGAGTGGCTGCCACAGAGTTGTTTTGTTTGTACAGCGAATGCGCAAATTGGTCGTCCCACTGCCATCGCTGGCGATATCTATTGGCAACAATAAAAAACTATCGCTGCTACCTGACGCGTCGCATGCTGGCACAGACGACAAAACTTTGTCTTTCGGTACGAGAATTTCTTTAAATAAGTAATTAAATTCCGTATTACTCCCTTTTTAACTCTGATATAGCATGCATAAGGGAAATGGAGGCCAAGACTGTTGCTAATCAAAGTATGGAAGATACGCGTGATCCCCTTGCCGGAGAGAGGGTGCGGGAAAGCCGATCCAAACTAAATATGGATATGGATATATTGCGAGGCAAGGTCCAAGAATTCCGCCACTTAACGTCGGAACTGAGCAACGACTGGGTAAGCCGAAAATACATCTCAATCCTGTTTTCTCCATCTGATCCATCTTGTTTTGCTATTCAGAATGCTTTGAAGGCTGATATTCTGGAGGAAACTCGCAGCCTGGAGGAGTACGTTTGTCTGCAGAACATGATTATAAAGGAATCGAATGGTGAATCGGCTGAACTGCCATGACAGAAAATACACCAATTGGCAGTTCCTTTTGACAATAGAAACCTCCCAAGATTTAAGTTATTTAAGTGTGGAATAAAGCTGTGAACAAATCTTCAAATCTATGTACATATCTTTAGATATAACGTGAAGGAAGTGTGGCAGCTAGAGCTTAAAGCTATGCCACATGCCCTTCCCTTTAGTAGTCTACTTCCTCCCGCCAGTCATTCTCGCTCTTCAATGGAAGCTGACAAGCAACAATCCATCTCGCCACAGAGAAGCTATGCTCTTCGCTATCATTTCCCATTTATGCCCACACACTCCCAATGTGGGAAGCATCCCCAATAAAAGCAGTCCATGTCCCCTCCTTATTGTTCACAAATGAATTATTTCTAAAGGGAAAACACAGCTGATTTAACAGTGTAACCGTTCATTGGCTTACAATGAATATCGATCGATGGATGGTCACACTGGCAGAGTAAAAAATCAAAATCTTTTATTCAATCTGACATTTGGAACAGATACGGAGTAAATTCAGTTGCTGATTTTTAATTGTGGGAACCAACTGCAGCCAGCGACGGTCCACAGTTAACCTAAGCTACTTACGTCTCCGCTGTTGCAGTTCCTGACGGCCAACATGGGCTTGGAGGATGAAGTCTTTCTGATTCAGAAGACGCTGATCCAGATATCAGCGTCGAGCGATGGTTCACGAACGGAAGAGGCCTTGGATCTGCTGGAGGCCCTGCAGAGGCTGGACATCGACCTGGATATGCTGGTCAAAACGCGCATCGGCAGGACGGTCAACGAGCTGCGCAGGAGCGGCCAGGACCACAACGTGATTACCCTGTCCAAGATCCTGTTGAAGAAATGGAAACGCTTCCTGTCCAGCCCGTCCCCAGCGGACCCAGCCACAGCCTCAGCCTCGGACCCAGCCAACTGCACAGCCGCCGCCAATGAGAGCTCGAACACATCGCAGTCCTCGAGTTCCAGCTACGAGAAGTCTGGCTGTAGCAGCAGCAGCAGTTCCTCCTCAGGGGTCAAGTGCGAGGAGAAGATTCCCGTCCACTTGGGCGGCATGACGGATGCCGTGCGCTTGAAGTGCCGCGAAATGCTGACCGCAGCGCTGAAGGTCGGTCCAGTGGCCGAAGGTTGCGCCGAGCCCGAGCAAAAGGCCGCCGAGCTGGAGGATGTCATCTACTCGGAGTTCAATAAGACGGACACAAGGTACAAGAATCGCATTCGATCGCGTGTGTCCAATCTGAAGGATCCGAAGAATCCTGGACTGAGCAGCCATTTCCTGTGCGGCGCCATCTCTGCCGGGCAGCTGGCCAAAATGACGCCCGAGGAGATGGCCAGTGAGGAGCTGAAGAAGCTGCGCGAGAAGTTCGTCCGGGAGGCCATTAACGCTGCCCAGCTGGCCATCGTGCAGGACACCACTGCAGATGTCTTCGATTGCGACAATTGCGACAATTGCGAGCAGCCGTCGAGCCCCTGAGCACTGCGGCAACATGCAGCTCAAAGTTCACACTGTAACCCACGTATCCATGTATCCAAATAGCAACCCCCTCCCCACACACATTCCATTATTGCATTGTAATGACAGCCAGAGAGTAAATGTCAATAAACATTAACTGCTGATAGCCCAAAACTCGATGGTGCTCTTCAATTATTACGCATAGCTTACGCATACATTAATGGACAAAATATGTTGTAATTCTGTATTACGATAAATTAATGTTGGACTGCATACTCCGTAGATTGGCCATAACTTTCGCTTACTTCACCTATTTTTCCGTACTCTTAGGGTGAATTCTTTTTGGTTTTGTTTTATTTCGGGTCCAGAATCTTTGTCTCTGTTTTCCCACAACTAAATAGAGTTTTACGAGTTGTCGCCAGCTGCCACGGGCGCAGCTTAACTCTACTGCTTTTCACCTGAGACTTGACTTAACTTAGCTTGCCACAAATTACTTATGAATTCACAGCAGCGAACAGTTAGGCCCACCTATTCATTCCGGTTTGCCCTAAACCATAAGTTAGGATACGCCTAATACAATCCACACACAAAAACACATGGTTTTACATTGGTTCTAGTTGAGTGCTTTCTACCTGTTCGGTAGCAGAGCAGCGGGGCTCATGTTAACATGGACCTCATGTTAACAGACTGTTGCCGTTGTGCCTGAACGCTCGCTGTTACGACGCTCTGTGAGCGCTGGGAAAGTTGTCTCCAGCTGGCACGTAGGATGGAAATTAATTACGCTATAACTCGCGATGTAAATAAATTGGAATTATGTATATGTATAGTCGCACTCGACATATTTTTCTTGGGAGTCTTCTTTGGACATTTACTATTTATACGGCCTTCGGCAAACAAAACATAATTACAGGTGATAGGTGATGTAGTAACTCAACTAAAAGTAAATAAATATTCACAATACAATTATGGGGTTATGATGCCATTATGATCTGCCAGAGCAGCGATGGAAACAGCAAACTGAACACTGAAAAGTGTCAGGTAAATGAAGCAGTCCAACTGTGGTGGTGCAACAATTGGCGAGTGGCGGTTACACTCCTCCCTTTAAGGCATACAGAACACACGCATGTATAACGAGTGGCATACTATACTCCTTCTTCTGTGTGGTTTTATTCACTGGGAATGTACATAGCTATGAGCAGATACTTGATAAATACTTATTATTACATTTAACATTGAAATGGAGGCACACAGCAAAACATTAACATTGAGCTTAACATTAAAATAAACTATAATGAATAAATACGGAACGTGTAGGAAATACTCTGGAGCTGGGTGGAGGAGCTATCTATAGACTATTTACGGCACAAGTCGTGCATTCGCATCATCGCCTGCGTAGTCTCCCCCGAATTGTCCGCCTGTGGGGGTATCATCGTCAATGTCTGCCACCAGGATGTCCGGCACCTGCCTGCCGCCTCCTCCTGCTCCTGCTGCTTTCCGTCCAATGTCCATCGTGTATAGTTCGCTTGCCTGCGGACGAAAAAGTGGGATCAGTTGGGCATTAAAAGTCTTGGGAGCAGCTCGACTCACTCTGGAGTTTTCGAGTAGCATCTCGGTAGCCATCTGTGAGCCGCTGGACGTCTGTTTTGGTCGTAGCAATCTCTGGAAAACATTCGGCATGCCAAAGGAGGACGAGGCGCTGGTGGTGCCCGTCTCATTGCTGCTGTGGCTTGACGCCATCCCCTCCATCCCCTCCATACCGTTGATGCCGACGCTGGCCTCAGTCCTTTCATGATCGATGAACGCTTTGCCGTCGATCGTCGACAGCGGATTCTGGAAATGGAGGTTAATGTTGAGATCCCTGTGGCCGCGCTGCCGCCACTGATAGTACATGTACCCAAGTCCGGCTGCCAGCGAGCCCACCACCAGCACCAGTAGGGCCAGCAGCCACTTGTGTATTGAGGAGCCACTGGACTGGGGTCTATCCTGCCTGCTGGCGCCCACTTCCAGCTCGTTGAAGGTGCCATGGGGACACTGTTCGCCCTCGGCCACCACCTGGCTGCCGCACATGCACTCGTATCCGTAGTCGGCCAGGATGCACATGCCGTGGCAGTGCGAGTGGTGGCACGGATTGGTCGCTGGCATCGGCTGCCTCGATCTGCCGGCCACCACTATGTCCTGGGCATTCAGCACATTCAGATTGATCGACTTGCAGATCCGCTCGCCGTATAGGCGACACCGCACCGCCTCCTTGGAGCCCAGATTGACAATGTACGCGTGATTCTCGTAGATGCTCAGCCCCGAGGGCTGCTTCAGGGCATGGGACTTCTGCAGCATTAGCTCCGGCCTGCGATGCGGCCCCGTGCCGGACCGTGACCTATAGCTGATCCGCTCGAGGGTGCGGCTGTGCATGTCCAGGTAGTAGAGCTGCTGCTGATGCGGATCGAGGGCCAGGGCCGTCATATAGCTGTCCTTTTTGTGCAGCATCAGCTCCTTGTGGCTGCCGTCCAGACGGGCCACATGCAGCTCGGCGCTGGCATGGCCAAAGCTCTCCAGTCGCATGGCAATGTAGAACAGTCGCCCATGGTAGCCATCGATGGCCAAGTGCCGCAGGTGCATGTGCGTCTTCACCTGGAGAATGCGGCCGCACATGCGGGCGGGGAAGCTGCAGGCGTAGATCTCCTGCGAGGCACTGCCACCGGCCAGGACATACACGTTGCCGGTGGCCCAGTCGACGGCCAGCTTGGTGGGCGATGGCACCGCCAGGGCACGCACAACGAGACGGCGACGCAGATCCACTTGATAGACGACACCCTGCTCCTCGCTGGAGAAGTAGCCCATCTGTCGTTCCATGTCCACATCGAAGCCATCGATGCGCGAGTCATTGGCCGACCAGGCCAGCTGCAGCATCATCGGCTGCTCGCTGAGATTGCGCACCTCGTTGTAGCTGCTGAAGAGCAGCGTGGCGCCCGCCTGGAGGCTCTTGCAGCTGACCCGATCCTGGCGCAGCATAAAGTCCGCATGGCACTGGCACTGATACCCACCGAGGGTGTTCTCACATATCTGGGCGCATGGCTGGCCGTCCAGGCACTCGTTCACATCCACACAGCTGCGCTGATCCGTGTCCAGGCGATAGCCATCGAAGCAGGAGCACACGGCACCCGCTGGCGTGGCCCGGCACTTGTGCTGGCACACCGGACGCCCGCCGCCAGAGGCGGTGCTGGCCCGGCAGGCTGTCGCACACTGCGGCCCCTCGTCATTGCCATTCTGGCAGTCGGGGAAGCTGTTGCACACCCGCGACATGTCCACGCACTCACCATCCTGGCAGTCGAACAGATGGGGCCGGCAGGCGCGCCGCGCCGTCGTCCAGGGTTGGCTCAGTGTCTGATTGTGGATCTTGTCGCAGGCCTCCTCGTCGCTGCCATCGAGACAGTCCTTGGCCCGATCGCAGCGGAACTCCTTGCGTATGCACTGCTTGCCGCTGCGGCACTGGAACTCATTGATGCTGCACATGTCCCCACAGTCGGCCTCATCCTCGCCGCGCGGGCATTCGGCGGTGCCGTTGCAGCGCACTGCGGGATCCAGGCAAAGCTTCAGATTGCTGGCACACTGATAGAGCTGGGCGCCACAGGAGATGTTCGCCTGCGACTGGCCATGCTCGCCGCAGTTCAGCTCGTCCGAGAGATCCCCGCAGTCGTTGTGGCCATCGCAGACGAGTCGCCTGTCCAGGCACTGGCCCAACAGGCAGCGGTGCATATCCGCCGGACACTGACGCTGTCCGCACTTGTCATGCTCATCGGAGGCATCGCTGCAATCGATCCGGCCATCGCATTCCCAGCTGCCGGCTATGCAGGCGCCGTTGCTGCACTGGAACATGCCCGCGTCACAGCTGGCCGGTGAGTCGCATTTGGCCGCAGCCTCGTCCGTGTTGTCGCCGCAATCGTTTTTGCCATCGCACATGAGGCTCTGGTCCACACACTTGCCATTGTCGCAGGCCATCTGATGGGCGTGGCAGCTTTTGGTTTTATCTGAGACGAGAGAGAGAAATAATCAAAGAATCATTCGGATTGGGGATTGAGGATTGGGGATTTACCAAACTGCGAACAATGCAGCTCATCGGAATTGTCGGGGCAATCCTTGTGGCCATCGCAACGCCTGTCCTTGTCCACACAGTCTTCGGCATTGTGGCAGGCAAACTGGCGGGCACCGCACATGACCTTCGGCCTGGGCTTGTGCCCCTCGTCGCAGTCCTGCTCATCGGAACGGTCCACACAATCCTGTCGGCCATTGCAGCGATGGGCCAGGGTCAGGCACTCGCCGCTGCTGCGGCAACGGAACTCACAGTCGAGCGCCTCCAGGCAGGAGCGATTGCTGGCATCGCGATACACAAAGCCCACGGGACAGAGGCAGGTGGCTGCCAGTTGTCCCACGCCCACACAAATGTGCGAACAGCCGCCGTTCTGATGCTGACAGGGATGCTGGCGCTGCTGCTGCAGCTGCTCCTCCCCGATGCTCACGCTGGCCGCCAGGGCGAGACGCCAGGGTGGCACCCCCATGGACAGGGGATACTGGCCGTGGGTGTCGCCGTCGCCGTCGCTGCCACCTGTTGGCACCACATCGATCCGCTTGCGTGGCCCCATGTTGCTCTTGTGGGCCCAGTAAATGGAGGCGGAGCCCAGTTCACTCCAGAACAGATCCTGATGCACCAGGGCCAGGCTGTAGGGGCGCCGCAGCTTGCCGCGGAACATCATCGCCTGCGTCTGGTGGTAGTCCGTGTACCTGATCGTTCCCATATCGCTGTCCGACCAGTACAGCGTATGCTGCTCATAGTCGGCGGCCATCTTAATGTCGTCATCGCCCAGCTCATCCTCGAAGACATGCGTCGGTGTGCCCATGCCGCTCAGCGGCAGCCTATCGATGATGGTCTGCCTGCGCCCCTTGAGCGCCACATACAGATATCCCTCCGCGGGCATCACACTCAGGCCAATGGGCGACTCTTGGCCGGCAAAGAAACGGATGAGGGCCCGGTGTCGCGTGGTAAAGGAGTACAGCTCCACGACACGTCGCTCGGCATCCGACCAGTACAGATTCTGGCTGAGATGATCGAAGGCCAAGGCACTCACATTGCCCAGATTCGAATGGATTAAAGTCCTCAGTGGTTGGCTGTGGCCCTGGCCCTGGCCCTGTCCCGGTTGATACTCCACAATGATGTGCCGCTCATTGTCGGCTATGATCAGGGTGCCATTGACGCTGTTGTACACCATCTCGCTGATGACACAGTCCAGGGCGTGGCTGGCACTCACCACATGCCGGCCAAAGGCCGTGTGCTCGATCTCCAGCAGGTACTGGCCCACGCCCACAAACAGTCGCTGGCGCTTCACCGTCTGCATGCAGCGCTGCTGATCGGGCGCCAGTAGCATGCCATCCGGACAGGCACAGCTGTGGCCGCCCGCCGCCGGCTCGGCCAGCAGGCACAGGTGCGAGCATCGGGCGGTGGCACAGGCATTGGGCGTCTGCGGCTGCTTGGCCGGATGATAGATGTGCACCGCATAGATGGTGCGATCTTTGGCCAGGACACGGTGCTGCTTGCCGGAGTGCTTGTGACAGGCATGGATGCTCTTGGTGCCCCAGTCCGACCAGTACAGCTGATCCTCGTACACGGCCAGGCCGTACGGATGCTTCAGCATGCCATCGAGCACGGTGCGACGGCCGGTGCCATCGGGTCGGACCGTCTGGACACTGCCCAGCTTCGCGTCCACCCAGTAGATCCTCTCCTGGTGCATATCCAAGGCGATGCCGTTCGGCCAGTGTATGTTGTCGCTGACAATCGGCGTGGAGCGCGCCCCGTCCATGGAGGCGCGCACAATCATCGGCTTTATGCCCCAATCGGTCCAGAACATTTGGCCGCGCTGCGGCCACAGGGCCAGGCCACGGGGCTGGTGCACATCCTCCGAGACGAGCACCACACAGTTGTGGGCATCGTGCGAGCAGACGGCAATGTGTCGCATCACATTATCCGAAAAGTAAATGTTCTGCGTGAGCCAGTCCACGGCCAGATCCTCGGGTGCGTCGAGGCCAGAGGTGAGCAGAATCTCGGCATGGCTGCCATCCGAATTGGCCTTGACAATGCTCTCGGCCTCGTTCTGAATGTTCGTCCAGTAGATGTGGCTGCCGTCGTACGCCACGCCAATCACTTTGCTCAGATTCCCGGCCACCTGGTAGACGTGCGGCCTGTTCCAGCGGCTACCCGCCCTTCCGCTGCCCAGCTGCATGCCCATGACGTTCATCTGGGTGGTGTACAGCAGCAGGGGATGGGCTGATTCGCTGCCATTCGTGTCCGTTGCGCGACAAGTGCGATTGTCGCGGGCCAGCTGGTAGCCAGGATCGCAGAGGCAACGATAGCCACCGGAGGTGTTCTCACAGCTCTGGCTGCACAGCTCCGGCTCGTTCTCCTGGCACTCGTCAATGTCCTCGCACTTGTTCCGGAGCTTGGCCAGCCGAAAGCCCGCCGGACAAAAGCACTGCGCACCGTCGACGGGCATCATGTGGCAGGTGGCGCCGGGCGGGCACGTCTTGGTGCTGCAATCCGGCTTGCTGTGACACGCTTCGAACTCATCGCTGTCGTCCGAACAGTCGCTGTGGCCGTCACACACTTTGGCCAGCGGCAGGCAATGCTCCCTGTTGCGGCACATGAACTTTCCCATCTGCGGCTGGCAGAGATCCACTAGAAGGCAACAATAGAAACAGATAGATATGTGGGTACAGGCACAGGCACAGGCACCGGCACAGGAGTGGAGTCCACTGTTATCATCTTACCGCAACCATGCTCATCGCTGCCATCGCCACAGTCATCGACGCCGTCGCAGAGCCACTGCTTACGCTGCAGGCAGCGACCATTGGGACAGAGATGACCCCTGCAACTGGCCACCGATTGTGAGCTGCAGCCGGCCAGCTCGTCCGAGCTGTCCGCACAGTCTGACTTGCCGTCGCACTGGAACTCGATGGGTATACAGCTGCGATCCCGCTGGCACATGTACTGGCTGGAGCTGCAATTACGCGCAGGCAGCTGCTTGCGGTAGATGCTGCCGAAGCGCGTGGACACTGGACAATTGAGCTCATCCTCACCGCCGGGGCAGTTGTCGATGCCGTTGCATTTTAGTTCTGCTGCCAGGCAGGCACCATGTGGCTGGGCGCACGGGAACCAATGCGGTTCCCGGCACAGCTTGTAGTCTGAAACGAAAGTGAGGTTAGGTTGGAGAGCTTTGGCCAACGGTATAGTGTGGAGAGGGGTGGGGTGAGGTGGGGTATGGGGTATGGGGAAAAATGGCGTCGCGTCGCCCCTACCGCAATCCAATTCATCTGTGGCATCGGTGCAGTCGCTTCGTCCGTCACACATCTTCGCCTGTAAGATGCAGCTACCGTCCCTGCACTGGAATTGTTCTTCATCGCACCGCGTGTTCGCTGGTCCCGGCGCGGCGGCAGCAAGCGCACTGAAAATGAGCAGCAACATTGCCAGACGGCACCACCAAATTGGACGGCAGGACAACTGCGGCTGACATTTCCTTCGCACATTTTTGCAATTGGAAGCTGTTGTAGTTGTAGTTGCGGTGCTGGTGCTGGTGCTCCCGTTACAGTTACCGTTCCCGTTGCATACGGTTCTTGTGCGAGAGGTTAGGTCGAGCATTCTCATGGTGCGCCCCACGGCCATATACGCGTATTTCACTCCGCTGGGGGGGTGCAAACAGGTGCCTACGCACATACAACACACAAACTATAACGATTTACTTATGATACTTTAATTCACGTGAAATAACAAACAAAAAAAAAACGAGATATGAACAGAAATGATGGCTTGCAGCTTGAAGAGCCGAAAGCGAATTGAACGAGAAAATTCTTTGGAATTTCAAAGTCTGGAAAACCAGCCAGAGATCACGCCATATATATATATGTATATATATAAGCTTGGAACGGATCCGTTAGAATAGTGTGACCGCTGTTGGCGTAAATACTAAACGCGTTTCGTACGGCGTTTTTACATAATCGAAAGGTTACAAAATACAAAAATATTAAACAAAGGAAATTAACAATGGGACTATGTTAGTCCCTGCTGATACTGAAGGAGCATCTCATCGACGACTTGCTGCAATAGTTTCGTGCCCTCCTCCAGTGGCGGCGACATAATCCTCTCCAGCAGCTCCATATTGAACAGCGGCTGGACCAAATTCCGCTTCATGGCAAACGCTGGCATCATAATATCGAACCGACGGCAGCCAAACTTGTTCTTCAGGGGCGGTACGCAAATACGATTCTCAACGATTTCATTGTCTTCCAGATCATCCCAATGCCAGTAGTTGACACCCCTTTCCACATCTTCATAGAGGCTGCCCCGCTCTTTGGCCGGCTTCCAGACCTTCTTGCCCTTGGGTGTCTTCTTTTGCGTCGGTTTGTATTTGCGTTTCGGCGGTGGCGACGATGTTCGATTGGACTCGGGCTTTCGTTCCTCCACATTGAATTTCTGCTCCCAAAGCGCCTGCACCTGCTTCAGTGACCTGAGCTCGGTGCGCGTCAGATCATTCAGATTATTATGTAGCCTGGACATAATATCATCCACCACGCCCGCGGAGAAGGCGCGCGAATTGGGTATCCAGTTTTCCTGGTTGCGGGTGTTCCGATTCCTCTTTCGCCTTGGACTCGAGATGCTCGACTGTGTCTCTTGTTTTGGCGCCTCATCGGGGGGCTCGGCTTTCGCCGCTGCGTTCCTTACTCTAGTTTTTAAAACTGTCTGCGCAGGCTCCTTTTTTATGTTTTTTGAAACTGCTGCCGCTGCCGCTGCATTCTTTTCTGTGGCCTTTCTTTTTCTAGTTTTTGGAACTGCCTCCTTTTTTATATCTGTTGGCTCCTTTTTAATTCGCTTTGCCACTGCCGACGATTTCTTTTTTACGCGGATCACATTTTCCATTTCGTTTTGCACTTCTTCCTGTGGCTCTTTCTTTAAGTTGAGTGGTGCCCGTTCGGCCATTTCTCGCAGCCATTCTGATCGATTATATATGCTCTTCCATGGCATTTTATGGCATTGCGATTTGCAATTTGAAGTTATTTTATTTGTGTTTGCCAATTGGATAAACAGTGTGCACACACCGTATGGCACGATCAGCTGATCTGATTCGCCTGGTGTGGCAGCGCCAGCATGGCAGCGCCGATCTTGATTTAAATTCAAATTCAAATTGAAAGGGTTTGAATTGCAGCAGCTAACAAGCAACAATTAATCATTGCGGCTGATGTGATGTCATCATCCACAGCGCTGGCGATTGCAATGCGAAACTGAAACCGAAACCCCAACTCAATGACCCATTGCAGTAATTAATAACGGTCGGACACGGACACGGACACCCAGGTACCTCTGGGGGCCAAACTTTGTGGATTTATGAGCGACGACATATAAACAAGACCAAAGCATTTGAGCCGACGCGACCGCAAAATGTCATAAAACCAAAAACCAAAAACCAGAAGAGAGCATTTAAAGCAATTTATATATCTGAATAGTACGAGTATAATTAAGGTAAGAGAGCCGCCGCCCCCCAGGCGCAAGCGCAAGCGCGACAAGCTTCCAGCTGGCAGCGTTTCACACGCCGTAGGGGGCGTGCCGCAGCAATAAAAAATAAAACAAAACGAAACGAAACAAGCCCAGCAAACACTCCATATGGCAGAGCAGAGCAGAGCAGTGCAGAGCAGACGTGGTTTTTCCATGGCTATCCAATTTGGGGACGGATGAGTTTTGTGTGTCGTGGGATACCAAAAAAAAAAAAAAAACACGATGAACATTTCTAAGCATTTTGGTGTCTTCCCGCCCGCCTGACTGTCTGACTGCCTGTTGAGTAATGGGCCATGTCCGTTGACATGCCGTGGCAAGGCGTTAAAATTAGTTGTAAAAATAAAGAAAAAGAAAAGACAATAATTTTTGGGTGCACAATATAATTCACTCTTAGAAGCGTATAAAAAGTAGAGACGCCAGCAGTATGGCCAACAGTTGTTCGTCGACATCCAATCGGTGCATACAAATCTGAATCCTACCCGAGAAATTCCCCCACTCAAAGGCAATACAATGGCAAGTACAGGCCAGGACATTCTTCGCTTGGCAGCGTGCTCAATAAATATTTTATTTACACACTTACAGAACTCCATCACTTTGCTCGCCATTGTGGCTGCCTCCTGCCTGGTGGCAATGTGCGCTGGCGATGTCTCCCACTTGTCGCGCAGCTACTTGCCGCCGCAGAGCATCGGCTACAATGGCGGATACAGTGGGGGCTACACGGGCTACAACTCGGGCGGCTACTCCGCATATCCAAGGTACTCGAACGGCGGCGGCTACTACTCTGGCGCCGGCGCCGGCTCAAGCTATGCTTCACCGCTCATCTCGTCCAGCTACAGGAGCTATGTGGTGCCACAGTATACAGCCGGCTATGCAGCGCCCTCGAGCACCTATCTGCCGGCGGACACTGGCTACTCCGGCTACAATGGCCTGGACACCAAATACGCCAGCAACGGTGGCTACGTCTACTAGTCGGACTGGGACTGGGACTTGGCCAGCCAGGCACCCAGCCAGGCAGCCACTCGGCAAAGGCATATTAATCTATTCCCTTTTTTTAAGCTATTTTTTTTGTGCAATAAAAAAATAAAGTTCATTCATGAAAATATATATTTAAATTTATTTATTTATAAATATTATAATTACCTTTGGGATCCAATCATTTGCTACAGATCAGATCCTGGCGCATATGTCCAGCCTCTCGTTGTGCTCAGTTCAGCGAATGAATCATTCTGGAGACAAGGGGACAACAGCGAGTGCAGCGACATTTCCGGTTGGAATCTACCAGAATCCGACGAGTTCTGACTACGAAATGTGCCAATAGCCGCCGTGATAAGTAGTCGACAGCCGCAGAATTAAATCAGCTAGAAATTACAATATTTACTTACAATCAAAGCATTTGCTGCACCAAGCTTGGATTGCTGATTGCAGTCCATCCGATCCGCTCCGATGGGTCTGGGAGTCACTGCCATTGCCATTGCTGCAATTCTGGTTCAGGTAACTCCTCCACGTTTCCTTTATAATGAATTAATTTAATTGGGCAGACGATAATGAATCTCATCAAGAATTTGATTCCAATTTGCTTCCTTTCAAGCGAAAAAGGGCAAAGTTTTGGGCTATCAGCAGTTAATGTTTATTGACATTTCCTCTCTGGCTGTCATTACAATGCAATAATGGAATGTGTGTGGGGAGGGGGTTGCTATTTGGATACATGGATACGTGGGTTACCGTGTTACAGTGTGAACTTTGAGCCGCTTGCGCCGCATGTTGCCGCAGTGCTCAGGGGCTCGACGGCTGCTCGCAATTGTCGCAATTGTCGCAATCGAAGACATCTGCAGTGGTTTCCTGCACGATGGCTAGCTGGGCAGCGTTGATGGCCTCCCGGACGAACTTCTCGCGCAGCTTCTTCAGCTCCTCACTGGCCATCTCCTCGGGCGTCATTTTGGCCAGCTGCCCGGCAGAGATGGCGCCGCACAGGAAATGGCTGCTCAGTCCAGGATTCTTCGGATCCTTCAGATTGGACACACGCGATCGAATGCGATTCTTGTACCTTGTGTCCGTCTTATTGAACTCCGAGTAGATGACCTCCTCCAGCTCGGCGGCCTTTTGCTCGGGCTCGGCGCAACCTTCGGCCACTGGACCGACCTTCAGCGCTGCGGTCAGCATTTCGCGGCACTTCAAGCGCACGGCATCCGTCATGCCGCCCAAGTGGACGGGAATCTTCTCCTCGCACTTGACCCCTGAGGAGGAACTGCTGCTGCTGCTACAGCCAGACTTCTCGTAGCTGGAACTCGAGGACTGCGATGTGTTCGAGCTCTCATTGGCGGCGGCTGTGCAGTTGGCTGGGTCCGAGGCTGAGGCTGTGGCTGGGTCCGCTGGGGACGGGCTGGACAGGAAGCGTTTCCATTTCTTCAACAGGATCTTGGACAGGGTAATCACGTTGTGGTCCTGGCCGCTCCGGCGCAGCTCGTTGACCGTCCTGCCGATGCGCGTTTTGACCAGCATATCCAGGTCGATGTCCAGCCTCTGCAGGGCCTCCAGCAGATCCAAGGCCTCTTCCGTTCGGGAACCGTCGCTCGACGCTGATATCTGGATCAGCGTCTTCTGAATCAGCAAGACTTCATGCTCCAAGCCCATGTTGGCCGTCAGGAACTGCAACAGCGGAGACGTAAGTAGCTTAGGTTAACTGTGGACCGTCGCTGGGTGCAGTTGGTTCCCACAATTAAAAATCAGCAACTGAATTTACTCCGTATCTGTTCCAAATGTCAGATTGAATAAAAGATTTTGATTGATTACTCTGCCAGTGTGACCATCCATCGATCGATATTCATTGTAAGCCAATGAACGGTTACACTGTTAAATCAGCTGTGTTTTCCTTTTAGAAATAATTCATTTATTAACAATAATAGGCAATTGCGGGATGGGAGGGGGCATGGACTGCTTTTATTGGGGGTGACCCCCACATGGGGAGTGTTTGATCATAAATGGTAAATGATAGCGAAGAGTATTGCTCCTCTGTGGCGAGATGGATTGTTGCTTGTCAGCCTCCATTGAAGAACGAGAATTACTGGCGGGAGCAAGCAGACTAGGTCACCGCTTTCATGAGAGAACGAGTAGGATTAGCGAGAGGAAACAGGCGAGGCTAGGCGGCCACCAGCGAGTTCTGCTCTCACATCCAAAGGGGCTCCTAGACACTGGTGTGCGTGGCAGCCCATGCCATTGATGGCTCATTGCTGCCATCGCCCAACTTCTAGCAAGGTTACTTAAAATAAACAAGAAATAATAATAGTAATAATAATTCTTTCCCGATGGCAGATTGGGCAGCCCGTCAAAACTCTTAAGACAGAATTGCGAACCTTGAAATGAATGGCGGACACGCTTATTAAATCCATCGCTTTATTTCCATTGTTCCAAAAAAAAAAAGAAGAGAATAAGTTGGATAGAATCGTTTGGTTAGTATCTGGAATCCGTACAACAGATGGATACCTGGGAGCTGCCTAAACCTTTTCCCCATTCCATTTTGAGATCCGTTTAGTGCTTCAGGCGGTATTCGTACCCACCGTTGGAGGCATAGCGAGTAGCTCCCGAGTGGCCATGTCCGTAGCTGCTGCTGCAGAAGGCCGTGGGGCCACCGCCGCCGCCACCGACCGCCGAGCGCAACCAACTGCGGGCAGGAAAATGATTAGAAACGAGTATTGTGCGGGATTAATGGACTGCTGTTACCTAGCCCCGAGAGCAGTGGGTTACATCAGCCACAAGACGCACCTTGAATGCCATTCTGCGAGTGTTTAAGGCTATTTGGGCAAAAGAAGCGAAACTTTGTCCTCCTTCTGTGAAGTGTGTGCCTTGAATAAAAATCCATTCGTCGCTGCATTTGCTCAACGAGGCTTTGAGCAGCTCCAAATAGGCGGAGGACGTCACATAGTTGCGGCGTCCCAGCTCCAGGTAGCACTTCTCGCTGGCATCATCCACCACCGACTTATGGAAGAACATGACACAGTCGACCAGGTCGTTCTCCAGCTTCGTCATCTCTCGTTCCTCTTCGACACTCTCACGATGCGCCTCTCCGCTCTGAGCGGACTCATCGGAGACACGCGGTGGCTGTGCCTGCCCTGCCTGCTCGGGCTCGTCATGGGGCCGATTCAGCTATACACCCGAATGCGCTCCTTGAAGGAATCACAATCACCGATGGGCGAAAAGGCCAAGGCAATGTGCAGCTGCTCCCGTATACGGTCGATATAGTAGGCATACACCTCGCTGGGCAGTGTGTTCAGATTACGGCCCTAAAAAAGGGGAGTTGAGTTAAATTTTTGGTTTATTTAACACTTAAACTTGGGGATGGAAAATGGATACCAGCAGAGGGAGAGCCAGAAGCATGGATATAGCCTGAAATGTATTTACCACTCTCGTTCGGTATCCGTTTCCCCATCCCCATGCTCCTGGGCGGTCACAGAATGAATTCTGCTCTCACCAGTTGCTTGGCAACATTCGCCATGTTCTCCATGATGGCTGCCTTGTCCTCCAACTGGTAGAGATTTGGCAAATCACCGGTATTAAGTTTGCCCTTGATATCCTCCACATAGCCTTCATCCGTTGGTCACAATCCATCATTCCCTGTTTGCTCTTTATGTACATACAATTCTTCAACATCGACAGCTGTTGTCATAGCAAATGCCGTTATGTGGAGATCGATGGGTCTGAAATCTGTGTTGTAAAGCGCAAAGAAATATTTATGTTAATATAAATTAATTTATATTAATTTTATTGTATTTATTTTTGTATTTTATTGTATAATATATTGTCCAAACAAAGAATAATAGATAATAGTAAACAAAGGGCTGTTAGTTTCATTGTTCATTGGTTTAATTTTAATTAGTAAATTTATAACTATTATGAAGATCAGTGCAGGAAAATTTTTTTTTTTTTTTAATTTCAACGGTTGTGTCATCAAAGTCTCCATACGCGATATAGCTACCATCGGCCATGGACAAAGAAAATATTTTTAAATTTTTGCTCAATTCGGCGATCCCGCAGCCGGTCGAAGTGGGGGAGTCCGCGCGTCGGCTGCGGTGGTCGCCGCACTTTCCGGGCGGTTCGAATCGGCACAAGTGTCTAATTCGCTTGTGCGGGAGGCGGAAGCGCATTTGCGCTTCTTCGAGGTGGCCGCACGCGCCGACTGTCAGCCTCCCCAGCCTAAACCGGAGCAGGGGCGCGTGCGGCAGGAGTTGCCGGCGGTGGCAGCTCCAGGACGCGGGCCAGTGCCAGCGGATGCGGAGGAAGAGCTGGAGGAGGAGCAGGATCAGCAGGATCGGCAGGAGGAGGAGGAGCAGGATCAGTGGGAGGCGATGGTTGTGGAGGCGGCGCGGGAAGCGGAGCCGGAGCCGAGGACTCCGAGGAGGGAGGAGCAGCCGAGGACGCCCAGGAGACGGCTGGCAAACCGGCCTCCGGCATTCGCGCCTGTGCGCCGGTCAATCCGCTAGAACAGCGGCAGATTGACCGGAATACCAGGCGGAGGGAGGCCTACCGGGCCCGAAGGATGCAGGAAGGCTACCAGGTGGGCGCGGCGCCACCCGGCAGGATGCAGGTGGTCGTGCAGGCGCACGGAATCCCGCCCCGCTATCCGGACACCCGGATGCTTGGGGAGTGCGTGTGGGAGGAGGGTGGGGTCCTCATATGGAGTCCTCCGAGAGGATGGTGGGCCCCACCCGGATTTGTGCCCAAACACAAAAAGGGCTCGCAGTGCTCTTACTGCAGCAAAGTGATGCACAAGGCGGGCCGGGTGAGGGATGCCCACGAGGCGGTGTGCCGGCTGCAAGAAAAGCCATATGTCTGCCCATATTGCAGCTTCTGCTCGGCGACTCAGTTGGGCCTGGACCTGCACAACTGTGGCTCCCTCAGGAACCAGTCGCCGATGGTGAGAGTGCCCGAGCGGGGGTAGGGGTATTGCGCTGGCATTGCACTGGCGGATGCCCTGGTCGCTCCAATGGCCAGGTGCCGTCCGTCAAGCCACCTTATCTCTGCCCCCGTTCGCCTCTGCGAACCCGCCGCACTCATTGATGATACGCAAAAGAGCTTCCATGATTGTGTGAAGTGGCTCGCTCGCATTTACTGAGGACCACCAGTACGCGAATCAAATCAAATAGCTTCTCTTTGACTTTCCACCCAGTGACCAGTCCTTTTGGTCCGGACCCAAGCGCTGCCCCGGCATCAACGATGAACTTTGACATCAACGATCCCTTGCACTTGGATTTCATCTGTGTGGCAGCCAACCAGCGTGCAGAGGTCAATGGCTTCGATCAGGTGCGCTACCGCCGTCCGTTGCTGAGCTGGTGAAGAACGTTAAGGTGAGTCACTCAATGAAGAATAGCCGAATAGGAGCACTCATCCAATACTAATGTCTGCAATTTCCTTTCGTTTAGGTGCCAGTGTTTGAGCCATGCTCTGGCAACCGCTGCCACCTCGGCCAATCTCTATGGATTGTCATGACCCATGACCTATCTCAACATAACGCAGATGCTGAAGAAGGCCGAAAAGCCATCGAAAATCCCACCACTGGAGTTCGAGGACGACGAAGACAACAACTTGCACATGGACTTCATTGTTTTTGTTGTTTGCCCAATTGGGGGGTATTTTCTTCATCGAAGTTTGCGTTTTTGGTTTTGTATTTTATATGTTATTGCATTTCATATATTACTTCATAATTAAGTCGCTTAGGTTTTGCTTGCTACTATTCATTATTTCAGGATTTACATTAATCGAACTTACATATATATACACATATATATATATTATGTATGCACATAATTAATAGGCAATAACCTAAGCTTACTTTAATGTCTTTCCATACACATAAGTATTGTTTATGCTAATTGATTTTTGCCATAGTGTACTAAAAACCGAAAACTGTATATTACACACGATATTGACATGCGCAGATCAATGACAGGTGACAAGTGTTGTGTAATTGAAAATCAGTGATCAGTTCTCTGTTACGCCTACGCCGTGCTGTTATGCGCGCAAGTTAGTCCCGAAGAACTATTATCATGCAGCGGTCAGAACAGCAAATTTTCTTTGAAAAGTATACCTCTTTTGAGCCGGCTGAAATAGCTAAAGCTGTCAGCTATGTCCACGGAGAGGACAAAAGGATCATACAGCATAATATGAAGGAGTTCTCAGCGCTGAAAGAAATAAATAGCCCATTTTGCCTAATAATGGACGAGTGGTTTGTGCACGAAACGGTAAATATTGCCCTACACTAAGTAAAAATAAATGAGACTATTTTCATATATACATATACATCTCTACAGATTTGTTGTATTCCAAATTGGAAAATGTTGGTGAAAGCTGCGCGCTGCATCGATGGGAGTTTCTACAGAACGCTGTATTTATATTTGGTAAGGAAATCAAATTTTTTTAAAAATATTTTCTAGGCTGTCCACATTGGGACTGCCTCATGCTTCTTTGCGTTTTGGCGAAGACGCAGTTTCTTTTACATGGGTTAAGCATATGGCCCTATCTATTCGATATATTCGATTGATTTTGCGCTTAACTGCACATTTTTGCACTTCTGTGCCTATCAGCGCAACTATCACGACTAATAACAACAAAAAATTTTAGATTTGATTTCTCAAAATTTGTTTACTTTCCTTGTCATCAAGCACCCAAATCAAAATTCAAGACGCACATTTGCCAATGTAAACGCCTTTTCTGCGTATTCCGATATCGATAGCAGACGCGCCCAGTGTAAAAAGGCTATTAATCATATAAATTAAACAGGTCCCTAACGAGACGATACAAGAAACGGAGGAAGACAGCGAAGGCGAAGACGAGCTTAAAATAAGCAAGAGGAGAGTGTACGACGGCCTCGCCCTGATTTTGGAGTATATGGAAACGCAAGTTCCGGCAGTCCTGAAGCATTTTCTGGCCATCGTTTCAGACTATAACAAAGTGAACGATATGTCGGTGCAGTTTGCGGTGTCTAAGGGTTACCCCTGCGTTTGGGACATAACGCACTTGCGTGCCGACATGGTCCATCGTGGATATCTGGCGACGGTAATATGTCTAATATAAATTGTATGCACAACCATAGCATATAGCAAACCTTTCTCTTCCTTTCAGCCGCTCTACAACTTATACGAATACGTCGAGTTTACGGCGGACACGTATCAGCGGAATATAGCTGCCTGTCTTAATGTCTTCGAGGAAAACGAAAATCCTCATTCGGATGTGCTAGGGCAGGAGCTGGACCAAATGAAACGGCTGTTAAAAAGATTTTTTACGTTTCATCCCTTGGGGAAGCTCCGGCTCAACGGCGTAAAGAGCGATGGTCCAGGTCATTTGCACAAAAGACTCCATGACTGAAGTCAACAATGACTGGATCCGGAGGGGATTCGCAAAGGAAAACCATACCGTCATATTCAGCGACGTTTGACCTCAATGTTTGACCAGATTGACTCACATCCGATAAAAACATTTGAGGTAGTACTGCCACTGGAGTCAAAACGCCACCAACGGGAAATCCTAGGAATGTCACGGTTTGACGGCAGGAAAATCTTGTTACCAAGCATCGCAGGTCTCTCATCCCTGTTCAGTGCCACCGGTGCCAGGTGTTTGGTCACACACATGCATACTGTAGCCGCCCGTATGTATGCATGAAATGTGCTGGACCGCACTGCACCTCAACTTGTAGGTAACCAAGGAATATCCCCGCCACCTGTGCTAACTGCCAAGGACAGCATATAAGCGCCTACAAGGGGTGTATAAAGTATCAGCATGCTAAGATAGATATGTCTCGTCGCTATTTCGCCCAAAAACGGCGATAGAGGTGGCTGGATTTAGTTTTTGAACACGAATTTACTGCAGCTGAACTGCAATTTACCCCTCATTTTTCTTATCAATAAAAACACTTACTATTCCAATCAAACACATACTGTACAACACCTTTATTAAAAGCCATTACATATATTATGCGGGAGGAGCAGGATCAGTGGGAGGCGATGGTGGTGGAGGCGGCGCGGGAAGCGGAGCCGGAGCCGAGGAGGGACGAGCAGCCAAGAACGCCCAGGAGACGGCTGGCAAACCGGCCTCCGGCATTCCCGCCTGTGCGCCGGTCAAACCCGGTAGAACAGCGGCTGATTGACCGGAATGCCAGGCGGAGGGAGGCCTACCGGGCCCGAAGGTTGGGGCAAGGCCACCAGGTGGGCGCCGCACCACCCGCCGGATGAAGGTGATCGTGAGCACGGAACCCGCCCCCTACCGGATACCCGGATGCTGGGGGTCGTGCGGGAGGAGAGTGGGGTCCTCATCTGGAGTCCTCCGAGAGGATGGTGGGCCCCACCCGGATTTGTGCCGAAGCACAAAAAGGGCACTCAATGCTCATTCTGCAGCAAGGTTATGCACAAGTCGGGCCTGGCGAGGGATGCCCACGAGGCGGTGTGCCGGCTGCAAGAAAAGCCATATGTCTGCCCATATTGCAGCTTCTGCTCGGCGACTCAGTTGGGCCTGGACCTGCACAACTGTGGCTCCCTCAGGAACCAGTCGCCGATGGTGAGAGTGCCCGAGCGGTGGTAAGCGGTATTGCGCTGGCATTGTACTGGCGGATGCCCTGGTCGCTCCAATGGCCAGGTGACGTCCGCCACCCTATCCGAGCCAGTCGGGGCTAAACGGGGACGGTCCACTGAGCCCTAAAGATCGGTACCACGGGTTGTTCAGCGGTCCAAGGCTGTTCATTGAGGTAGGCCCCCTAGTGGGAGCATCGTGGTGGTGTGGTAGCCCAAATTTTACGCGGGAAGAGCCGCTAGGCTCCACGTGGAGTTGCGAGCTCAACTGGGTGCCGAGACCCATAGATCGGAAGAAGTGGTAGATACACTTCGCTCCTCACCAAAGGGGAAAAGTATGCCCGACTAGTATACTTTCGAATTGGTACCAGGATGGGTAGCTATGTATTTTCTATAGCTTCTTATTCTGTGGCGGTAATTGACGCATGTACCAGATTTACGGTGATATGTGCATTGCAAAAAGCACATTACACACCGTGGATGAAATCCCTTCCTGTAGAACCGCCGCGTTAAATAAAGCTGAGAGATCAGATTCATCTGGCCAGGGAGCACGCACAGATCTGGGACAGTGCAATAATAATAAGAACCTAATGGTATGTGACGACCACCAATTTAAGATTTCCGTATACGTCTACCATTTATTTGAAATCACCAACTACCGGGCCAATACCTAAATATACTCATATATTATCAAAGACTTCAATACAAAGATGTATCATGAGGAGCAAATGCTCGTTCAATTTTACCTCTGCTTTCAGCTTCGTCAATGCCTCGGCCCGCGTCGAGTCGATCGACAGAGTACACCAACAAAATATGAAGTCTGACGACGGGAATAGGTCCAGGGCCGGATTAGCAGTTTCCTAGGGCCGCCCCTAGGGCTAACAGAAAAATTTGTTGAAAAAAAAAACTCCAAATAATGAATAAAAAATATAATAGCCACTGATAAACATACAAATCAATCAAACAAATATAACATTTTTAAGTTTTTATTTCAAATGAAAAAAGAAGGGAGCTGCCGTGAAAAAATGGAGGGCCCCAGATTGATGGTTGCCCAGGGCCCTGTTGAGGGTTGATCCGGCCCTGAATAGGTCGAGTTTGGTTTTAAAGCAGACTCACACAGACGCACACAGTCTCACACATTTTTTTGGTGCGTTTGTTTGCAAAGACAACAGACACGAAGTCAAATACGTTACTTATTTCTCTGCCGCTACGTCAGCAGGGAAGAAGTTTTTTTTGCCGCTACTTCAGCAGGGCAGAATAACGAAACCACACGAAGTCTTTACGCTGTACGTGCGCCGACTGCGCTGCCGAGTCCTGCTTTAGAGCTGCAACTGGCATACTCATCGCACGAGCACGATGGGCCACTGTACCCCAAAAATTATGTTGTCCAGTGTGGATGAAAGAATGGCGCGATTGGGAGACGACAAAGTAGACTTTATTTATTCTGAGCGTTTATTTTTAACCATGTCTGTCCATTTCGGAAGTCACCGACGCCGCTGCCACGAAAGTGTAATTAATGATGCGGTTCTAAGTTTATGGCTGGCTTCGCGGCAGTTCGAGAGTTCGCGAGGGAGCGAAAAAATACCCAAAGGCAGCAGCAGCAGCAGCCGTAGCAGCAGAGAGGCTTATTAAATCAATCGCTTTATTTCCATTGTTACAAAAAAAAAAAAAAAGAGAATAAGTTGAATAGAATCGTTTGGTTAGTATCTGGAATCCGTACAACAGATGGATACCTGGGAGCTGCCTAAACCTTTTCCCCATTCCATTTTGAGATCCGTTTAGTGCTTCAGGCGGTATTCGTACCCACCGTTGGAGGCATAGCGAGTAGCTCCCGAGTGGCCATGTCCGTAGCTGCTGCTGCTGCCAGACGAGGAGTAGCCACCAGCTCCATGGCCCGAGCCTGTTGCATAGCGAGCCGGTGACGAGTAGCTGACATGGGATACGGCTGGTCCGGCATAGCTACGACTCGATCCGTGTGAGACGGCGGGCGCGGAGTAGCTCTGATGAGACACGGACGGAGCGGCGTAGGATGATCCAGCGCTGCTGTAGCTGCTGTGGGAGGCAGTTGGAGCCAAGTACTGTCTGGATGGAGCGGCCACAGGTGCGGAGTAGCTGGCATGAGAGGCGGCAGGCGCTGAGTAACTGCTGTGGGAGGCAGCTGGCGCCAAGTACTGTCTGGATGGAGCGGCCACAGGTGCGGAGTAGCTGGCATGAGAGGCGGCAGGCGCGGAGTAGCTGGCATGAGAGGCGGCAGGCGCTGAGTTACTGCTGTGGGAGGCAGCTGGCGCCACGTACTGTCTGGATGGAGCGGCCACAGGTGCGGAGTAGCTGGCATGAGAGGCGGCAGTCGCGGAGTAGCTGCTGCTGTGGGAGACCGGAGCCAAGTACTGTCTGGATGGAGCCGCTGCCGCCGCGTGCGATCGGATCGCATAGGTGGCCGAGGGGGCTGCGTAGTGGCCCGCGGAGGAGCTGGAGGCTGCCGTGTTGTAGCTGCTGTGGGCATTGGCCTGCGGCGGCAGGTAGCTGCTGCCCAAAGGACTGGCCATGGCCGCAGAGGTCACGGCCAGGAGCACAGCGGTGCAGGCCACAAACGAATGCTGTCCAAGAATAAAATGGATTGAGTCGCTGATGGATGGATCTCTGTGGCGCTGTGTGGGATATTTACCATGATGATTCAACTGATGGTCTAGGGTTGGTTGGGTGCTTCCCGTGATGTCGGAACTGGAACTGATGCCAGCGGTGGCATGAGCCGACACTTTTATAGAGACACCGAACAAAAGGTGCGAGTGTGCGAGTACAAATCTTAAATCGACGCACAGACAAAAGAGGTGAATAGAAAAAACAAGTGAGCAAAGATGGATAAATGGAAAGATAGACAGATACGCGAATTACGAGTACAAGTAGGGGCAACAAAAATATATTAGAACGAAACGAAACGATCGAAAACGAAAACGGAATGGATTGCTGCTAGCTACAACAAGAGCCGATGATTAGAGCTTCGCTGGCTGGCCCAGTGGATGGCTAGTTAGTTACACTGTGCAACAGGTTTGGATTCTTGTGAGGAAATACTTGTACGATGTGGAAGATGTTCATATATGAATATATATCCAAGTAGATCTGCTAGCACTCATATAGAACACAAAGTAAATATATCAAAACAAAATCTGTTAATCCCTTTAGAGCAGGGGTCGGCACACAGACTCAAACATTTTTTGGTGCGTTTGTGTGCGTAACTTATTTCTCTGCCGCTGCGGAAGCCGAGCAATTGTGCATAGGGTACACGAATGCTGCTCTGCCGCTGAGGCAGGCGAGCTTCGTCACAAGGGCAGAAGTTTCTCTGCCGCTACTTCAGCAGGGCAGAATAACGAAACATCCGAGTCGGAGAAGCGTACTCGCTTTTGATTCTTCCCCACCTGAATGGGCGTCATTTTCATGTCACTCGTCTGATCCTCCTCTACCTCGTCGTCGTCTATCTCTGTGATTTGGGCCACCTCTGGCTGCAAATGCATTTGCCGACCTTCCGCCAAACGGCCTATTATCCAGCGATCCCAAGTGTCCAGAGTCACTCCGTCCAGTATATGCACTTGGCATATAAACAATCCATCATTCCCTGCACAATATGCTGTTTGCTCTTAATGTATTAATGTACTTGTAAATAAAATTTTTCAACATCGACAGCTGTTGTCATAGCAAATGCCGTTATGTTGACGTCGATGGGTCTGAAATCTGTGTTGTAAAGCGCAAAGAAATATTTATGTTAATATAAATTAATTTATATTAACTTTATTTTATTTATTTTTTTATATTATATATTGTTCAAATAAAGAATAATAGATAATAGTAAGCAAAGGGCTGTTAGTTTCATTGTTCATTGTTTTTATTAAAACATTTAGAACTATTATGAAGATCAGTGCAGGAAAATCTTTTTTTTTTTTAATTTCAACGGTGGTAACAGCAAAGTACCCATTCGCGATACAGCATCCATCGGCCATGGACCAAGAAAATATTGTTAAATTTTTAATGAATTCGGCGATCCCGCAGCCGGTCGAAGTGGCGCTGGAGAGGCTGCGTGGAGTCCGCGCGTCGGCTGCGGTGGTCGCCGCACTTTCCGGGCGGTTCGAATCGGCACAAGTGTCTAATTCGCTTGTGCGGGAGGCGGAAGCGCATTTGCGCTTCTTCGAGGTGGCCGCACGCGCCGGCTGTCAGCCTCCCCAGCCTAAACCGGAGCAGGGGCGCGTGCGGCAGGAGTTGCCGGCGGTGGCAGCTCCTGGAGGCGTGCAAGCGGATGCGGATCAGCAGGAGGTGCAGGATCAGCAGGAGCAGCAGGAGGCGATGGTGGTGGAGGCGGCGCGGGAAGCGGAACCAGAGCCGAGAACTCCGAGGAGGGACGAGCAGCCAAGAACGCCCAGGAGACGGCTGGCAAACCGTCCTCCGGCATTCCCGCCTGTGCGCCGGTCAAACCCGGTAGAACAGCGGCTGATTGACCGGAATGCCAGGCGGAGGGAGGCCTACCGGGCCCGAAGGTTGGGGCAAGGCCACCAGGTGGGCCCCGCACCACCCGGCCGGATGAAGGTGATCGTGCAGGCGCACGGAATCCCGCCCCCCTATCCGGATACAAGGATGCTTGGGGATTGCGTGCGGGAGGAGGGTGGGGTCCTCATCTGGAGTCCTCCGAGAGGATGGTGGGCCCCACCCGGATTTGTGCGGAAGCACAAAAAGGGCACTCAATGCTCATTCTGCAGCAAGGTTATGCACAAGTCGGGCCTGGCGAGGGATGCCCACGAGGCGGTGTGCCGGCTGCAAGAAAAGCCATATGTCTGCCCATATTGCAGCTTCTGCTCGGCGACTCAGTTGGGCCTGGACCTGCACAACTGTGGCTCCCTCAGGAACCAGTCGCCGATGGTGAGAGTGCCCGAGCGGTGGTAAGCGGTATTGCGCTGGCATTGTACTGGCGGATGCCCTGGTCGCTCCAATGGCCAGGTGACGTCCGCCACCCCCTCAAGGGTACCCTATCCGAGCCAGTCGGGGCTAAACGGGGACGGTCCACTGAGCCCTAAAGATCGGTACCACGGGTTGTTCAGCGGTCCAAGGCTGTTCATTGAGGTAGGCCCCCTAGTGGGAGCATCGTGGTGGTGTGGTAGCCCAAATTTTACGCGGGAAGAGCCGCTAGGATCCACGTGGAGTTGCGATCTCAACTGGGTGCCGAGACCCATAGATCGGAAGAAGTGGTAGATACACTTCGCTCCTCACCAAAGGGGAAAAGTATGCCCGACTAGTATACTTTCGAATTGGTACCAGGATGGGTAGCTATGTATTTTCTATAGCTTCTTATTCTGGGGCGGTAATTGACGCATGTACCAGATTTACCGTGATATGTGCATTGCACAAAGCACATTACACACCGTGGATGAAATCCCTTCCTGTAGAACCGCCGCGTTAAATAAAGCTGAGAGATCAGATTCACCTGGCCAGGGAGCAAGCACAGATCTGGGACAGTGCAATAATAATAAGAACCTAATGGTATGTGACGACCATCAATTTAAGATTTCCGTATACGTCTACCATTTATTTGAAATCACCAACTACCGGGCCAATACCTACATATACTCATATATTATCAAAGACTTCAATACAAAGATGTATCATGAGGAGCAAATGCTCGTTCAATTTTACCTCTGCTTTCAGCTTCGTCAATGCCTCGGCCCGCGTCGAGTCGATCGACAGAGTACACCAACAAAATATGAAGTCTGACGACGGGAATAGGTCCAGGGCCGGATTAGCAGTTTCCTTGGGCCGCCCCTAGGGCTAACAGAAAAATTTGTTGAAAAAATATAATAGCCACTGATAAACATACAAAATAATCAAACAAATATAACATTTTTAAGTTTTTATTTCAAATGAAAAAGAAAGAGGAGCTGCCGTGAAAAAATGGAGGGCCCCAGATTGATGGTTGCCCAGGGCCCTGTTGAGGGTTGATCCGGCCCTGAATAGGTCGAGTTTGGTTTTAAAGCAGACTCACACAGACGCACACAGTCTCACACATTTTTTTGGTGCGTTTGTGTGCGAAGACAACAGACACGAAGTCAAATACGTTACTTATTTCTCTGCCGCTACGTCAGCAGGGAAGAAGTTTTTTTTGCCGCTACTTCAGCAGGGCAGAATAACGAAACCACACGAAGTCTTTACGCTGTACGTGCGCCGACTGCGCTGCCGAGTCCTGCTTTAGAGCTGCAACTGGCATATCACGCACGAGCACGATGGGCCACTGTACCCCAAAAATTATGTTGTCCAGTGTGGATGAAAGAATGGCGCGATTGGGAGACGACAAAGTAGACTTTATTTATTCTGAGCGTTTATTTTTAACCATGTCTGTCCATTTCGGAAGTCACCGACGCCGCTGCCACGAAAGTGTAATTAATGATGCGGTTCTAAGTTTATGGCTGGCTTCGCGGCAGTTCGAGAGTTCGCGAGGGAGCGAAAAAATACCCAAAGGCAGCAGCAGCAGCCGCAGCAGCAGACTTTGAGATTCCCGAGATCGTGGAACGTGAAACAAGTAATCCAATCCGATTCGATCCAATCCGGCCCAACCCCCCCGCCCCCCGCACCGACATTGGACAGGTCGCGTCTAAAGGCGACGATTACTCACAATCCTACACATTAATTATAATAAACACTCTCGGACACGTATACGTATATCTTAATGGGGGGCTTCTCCTCCTCCCATTGGGCAGTTCTTAAATTAAATCTTTTGCGTGTGCTTCTATAATTAAAACAAAAGGCCAAAAAGCGAAGCCAAGGGGGAACAGTAAATCCAATCAAATAAAAATATTAGCCAAGAAAGAAAGCTGCCTGGTTGGCAGTGCCGAAGCCACAAATACTCTGGCTGATGCATCTCTGGCATCATGCGGTTCCATCGGATACAGACAAATATTATAATAATAAAAAAAAGACTATTACTTAGTTTGGGAGTTTCTTAAGTGTCACGAATTCCTCATAGAATTATATTCCAATTCAAACTGTAGAGTATTAATTTGTCCATCCAGTAATAATTATTATTATAAATTATAAATTATAATTTATGTTTTGCTCTCGTTATGCGCAATGGAATAATTCTTTTCGGTATTTGTGCTCAGTTCTCCAGGGGCTGCGAAAGTGAGTGGATGGGATAGGTTGGAAGAATCGACTCCGAAGAGTTGGGAGTTTCGCTTGGAATTTGTGTATTTAAAAAAATCGTTTTGCTGTATGTATTATGTATGTACGAGTATGCATGTATATCTGGGGACGGTGATCTACTCCTAGGCCAGACTTTTCTGGTGCACATCCTTGGCATATGCCACAAAGAGAATGTTGTGCTTGCTGGCTATGGGTTTGCCACCAACCTTCTCCTCCTCGCCATGCCGCACATGCAGGCTGGGCGACGCCAGGTTAATGCTGCCCACTATCTGGCCGGGCTTGATGTAATAGTTCTGGCCCAATGTCATCGGCCGGTGTTCGGTGATTAGCTGATATCTCATCGGCTCTGACTCCGGCTCCGCCTCCGCCTCCTCGATGATGAGCTTCGGTCTGACTGTGCTTGGAGTCGCGCCTGCTTCCGCTTCAGCAGCTGCGTGTGGCCAGCCCAGGGCCAGTAGTGGCAGGCAGATGGAGAGTGCCACAAGGAATCCCATGGAGTGCATCTTGCGTTTATGTAATGTGCAACGTGTGTGTTTGTGTCTGCGGGCAATACCTCAATGCGGTTCTGTTTTCGGTCAGCTGCATTCTTATATTTATCCCCCAGTTGGCAGGCGGCATTCTGGTGCACCAGGAAGATCTCTCTCTCTCTCTTCCTCTCTGTGTTGGCTTTTGTTCAGCTTTTCTGGGTCTTCGCTTTTTACCCCCAGGTTTTTGATTGTATTTCTTGGCTTTTGCATTGTCCGTTTTGGCCATAACAAGTTTTGGACATTAACCCGATTTCGATTTCGCACTAAGAGATACTTTTGATACATAAATGAATGTGGGTATATACACATATATAATGCACACGCGATATCTCCATTCACAGCAAAATACATTTTATATATTATTATATCCAGTCATATACTTATGTACATATGTATGTATGTATGTATGAATGGCACTTGCCTGACGACAAAAATATTCGCATGTTTTCGGCTGATTGCTCTGCTGAGTTATTCGGTTCGATTTTTATAATTAATAAGTTTCCCTAATGGCAAATAAATGTTTGAGAAAATTTATTTATTGTTTTTATTATTTGCTATACTTATGGATTTATAATTAGTTTTAGCTTGAGGTCTTTTATCTATGAATATTGAATATGCATCGCAGTGGAATGAAATATTTTTAGCTATTTTGGGATATCAATTGAACACGAAAATTATGGAACCCATACTCACATTTCATGTACAGTGGATAACATTAATATTCGGTTGTTTTTTTTTTTCAACTTCAAACGCGAATAAAATGTAAAAAACTAACAAAAAACAAAAATTGAAAAATGGTATATTAGAGCTTGTAATATTACCTTTTCATAGAGGTACATATATTAGGGTTTTATTTCAAATTAATAGCAAAAACATACAAAAACAAAAAAAAAACTCAAAATTTGCATTACTTTAATATTCGGTATTTTTTGGAAGTGGTATAATAAAACCCTGTGGTAACTCCAAATAGCCAAAAAAATGGCAAAAAAGGGGCTTCCCCGAAGAACCAAAATTTTTTCAAAAATATTGACCAAGCGGAAGAAACAATTTAAAAATTAAATATTAACCAATTAAGTTGAAATTTTTGGAGAAGAGTTATATTCTCATATTTTAAATCATATAAAAAAATCAGTCCGATCAGAGCGATATAAGGTATAGCTTCCATACAAACATTGTCAAAATATAGTATTTTTTTGAACCTCATGTCTGCACCTCTAAACGTATTCCAATCGGGCTTAAACTTTTTATTTTATTGTTTCATAACAAAAGAAACATTTTAAGACCCTGAGACCTTTGAAATTCAGAAATTTCGAAAAAAAAGAACCGCCCTAATGTACATATGTACATATGTATGTAGCTAACAACGAACGTTTACACAGTCACATATTGTTTAATAAACTTAATGGACATGACACTTTCTTCCCCACCGCCCAGGCTGCTCTGCTTCCATTGGACGTGCACTGCTTGCCGTTGCGATAAGTCAGCCGGATAAGGCAACTCTTGCAAATTCTTCCCTGGGACATACTGAGAACTGTGCACGTACCCCCCCTGCCCAAGAAACTATGTGAAAAAGTTCAATTATTTGATTTTGATATATTTAAAAAAAAAAATGTGCTTGCATTATGCTTGGGTTCGGGGATTCGGTGTCGTCTAGTAGACGTAGCCACCGTTGGTGCCGTAGGTGGTGTCGATGCCAGAGTATCCGCTTACCACGGCTGGAGCGCGGTAGGTTGAAACGGCAGGGGCCGAGTAGGTGGACACCGCTGGAGCGGAGTAGGTCCTTACCACAGCGGGGGCGGTGTAGGAGCTGACAGCGGGGGCGGAGTAGGTCCTTACCACAGCTGGGGCAGTGTAGGTGTTGGTGTAAGAAGTCACAGCCGGGGCGGAGTAGGTCTTGACCACAGCAGGTGCGGTGTAGGTCTTGGTCACCACGGGAGCGGAGTAAGCCTTGGTCACCACGGGAGCGGTGTAGGAAGTCACAGCTGGGGCGGAGTAGGTCTTCACAACAGCGGGGGCAGAGTAGGAGCTGACAGCTGGGGCGGAGTAAGTCTTCACAACGGCGGGGGCGGTGTAGGTGTTCGTGTAAGAAGTCACCGCTGGGGCGGAGTAGCTCTTGACGACAGCGGGGGCAGTGTAGGTGTTCGTGTAGGAAGTGACGGCTGGAGCGGAATAGGTCTTCACCACAGCGGGGGCAGTGTAGGTCCTGGTCACCACGGGAGCGGAGTACGAGGCAGCAGCCACAGCGGCGGGCTGGGCGTAGCTCTCCTCAGCGCTGCTCTCGGCAGGAGCCACATACGACTCGCTGTTGTCGGTGGCAGCTGGGGCGGCATACGACTCGCTGTTGTAGGTGGCGGCGGCAGCTGGTGCCGAATACGACTCGCTGTTGTAGGTGGCGGCGGCGGCGGCGGCAGGAGCGACATACGACTCGCTGTTGTAGGTGGCAGCTTCGGCTTCCGCGGGGGCCGAGTAGGACGACTCCGAGGCAAAGGAGGCGGACTCGGCGGGTGCCGACTGGTAGGACTCGTAGCTGGTGGAGGCGGCACCGGACCGGGGTGGCAGATAGGTGTTGCTCAGGTGGCTGACATCGGCCGCGGCCAGGGCCACGAGGGCGAGCGAGAGGACGGCGAAGAGTTGCTGCGGAAGAGTCGCCGGTTAGCACAAAGGATCGTGGTGGTGGGGCGGAGGAGCGCTGCTGTGGGGAGGGGGGGCTTACCATGTTGCTGGGACCAAAGACGGGAGAGTACTAGCTGAATGTCACCGATCTGAAGATATTTATAGGCGAAATTTGTTGGCCCCAACTTGATATACGAATGTCAAAAGGCGCTTGGACCAAGAACCAGAACAAATGCGAGAGGTTTTGTGAATACAAAAGACCATAAACTATATCGCCTATAGTCGTCCAAACATACATACATACGCACGTATGTGTGTATCTGCCTGCCTGCCTGTCCCATGGCTTATATACCCGATGCCCGTAAATAAAAAAAAAAAAAGAAATAATAATGAAACATTTCGTCTGAATTAAGTTCCCATTCTCCAGCAGTGACGATGACTGGCCAAGCTCATTAGCCGCCCATAATATTCCAAAATTCTGTTCCTCTTTTCGCTGCTTCTCTTCTGGGTTCTTTCTGCCTTCTCATCAGCGGGCAAGGGGAGGCGGATAACGACGAAGAAATTGTATAACTCGTTATTGGAGAGTCCCAAGTCCCCCCCATTCATAAGTCGGAAACCCATACCCCGTCATACCGGGCTCATCTCCGGGGCCTTCCATCCGTGCCTTCATCCATCAAAACGAAAGCAAAAGCCCAGAATATTCAACGCTCGAGTAATTTATCATTTTCAGGGAATTACCTACGTTGCAATATCTTTTGAAGGCTCTCAAAGTGCACAGCGTATCCGAACACCTTCACTACATATAGGAATAAAAATTGAAAGCCAGACAACAAATTTTCATAGTCGCAGATTCTTTAATAAACTCTTTCCAATTGAATGGTGTTGTCTCTGCTGCGTATGCCCTTCCTTCTAAGCCTCTTTCGGCTTCAAGCGGGCCTCATTGGACATCAGGGTGAAGAGCAAAGAGTCGACGGCTTTCGTGCAGCCCGACGACAGCTTTTCCAGGTCCCCAGGAGACACGTGCATGTCCAGTTTGCGCAGGACACGCTGATTGAAGATTTGCCAGTTCAAGAAGTTCAGCGACAGGCTATAGCACGGCGAGTAGCTGGTGAGGTCATCGATTCCTGGCCGCATCTTGTTGAACATCCTTGCCACGTGCACTGCGTCGCACAGCTGCTTGGCGTTGCGATAAGTCGGCCGGATGCCTTTGCGATGCAGCCAAACGTCCAAGGAGAAGCGCTCCTCAGCGCTCAAGTCACGGATGCTGGCCATATTTTCACCTTTTTTTCGATTTACAATCACAATTGCAGAGTGACTTTGAGTAAATTTTCCCAGTTGGTTTTTTTTTCATTGAGAATCAAATGCAACCCTGCTGAGGAAGACAACTTTTTGTTATCGATAGTGTTTCATTCCCAAATTGCTTGGCGATATTTCACTTGCTACAAAAGTCTGGGGTTTCTTTTGCGAATTGATAGATTTAAATTCATTTTAACAGCATTGCGGGTGTAATTCGTTAATAAGGGAACGTGCGACATTTGTAGCCCAACTATCGATATCAATATCGATGTTTTAGCTGTCAACCCGTTGCGCAATTTGTTGTTGTTTTGGATACGCAATATTGTCGGCGCTATCTTCGTTGATTCTCCTGCAACTCCGCTGCCACAAGAGCCGCCAACCGCATTGGGGGCAATTTCCTCCTTTTGTTCGTTTTTTATTAGCTTTTCTTGAAAGTAAACACAAAGTAAACAAAACAAACGCAGCTGTCTGCGCAGTGTAACCGTAGGACATGTACTGCACCACCTCTGGTCACACTCGGCCGCAAGCACATGTTTAGCTGGCCAAAACATTTTCGGATCTGTTTGTGGGTGAAAATTTGAGGTGAATATACGAAAATAAAGTTTCAATTAAACAAATTAAATAATAAAAACTCAGCAAATATGTGTACACATACATATATTTTGTTCCCGCTCATACAAATTGGTATTTGAATGTGCAATTAATTTGTAAAAATCGCCAGCTCATTTGCAACCGGTCTTGCATGGCTGATAGTTTTGTCTTTTAAGCACAAATTCCCAATTTGAGACTAGTTTATGGCAACCAATTTGGAACTTGGAGCTCTATTTGGTAAGTATTAGCGTAGCGCAGTGCTTTAAATGGAATTTCGCTTGAAAAGTCTTTCTTTTGTTTTGTTTTTTTGTATTTATTTTTATGGGAAAACAGGTTTGTACGTAAAAAAAATGGTAACTGTATGATAAAACTAATTGGTGCTAGAAAATTGGCTAAGTAACAGTAAGTGAGATGTGCGATGAAACGATCAGCGTTCCAACGTTCGCCCAACAGGATCCACGACGATCCACAACTCGATGCGAGTTCGGACATCTGCTGGGGTCCCCGTTCACACAGCTTCTCTTAGTGCTTAGTGCTTCTCGTACACATAGCCGCCATTGGCGGCGTATTCAGTGCCGATCTGGTTCGTGATCTGTGGTGCCACCTGGGCCACACTGGTCTCAGCCTGTTGAACGATGGCTGCTGGTGCAAAGGACACCTGCTGCTGCTGCTGTTGCTGCTGCACGGGAGCGGCAGGAGCGTAATTGTTGTACGTGGACACTTGTGGCGCATACTGAACGATTGGCTGAGCCTGGGCCTGGACCTGGACCTGTGACTGAATCTGGATGGGTGCAGGCGCTGGAGCTGGTGGAGCGGGCACAAACGATTGCTGGAACTGAACCGGAGCTGGAGCTGGAGCTGCGGCTGCAACTGGAGCCGAGTAAGTTGTCTGCTGTACAATGGGAGCGGGTGCTGGTGCAGCAATTGGCGCCTGGTAGCTATAGCCACTGTATTGCTGCTGTATCTGGACTGGGGCTGGAGCTGCAGCTGCCGCACTGATGCTGACAGTCTGCTGAACTGGCTCTGGCAACGAGATCGAAGGCTGTGCAATGGCAACGGGAGCGGTGTAAGTTTGCTGGGCAACAGGCGCGGCAACAGGAGCAGGAGCAGGAGCAGTGTAGGTTTGTTCCTGAATCACAGGCGCAGGAGCGGAGTAAGACTGCTGCACCACAGGAGCAGGAGCAGCGTAGGTCTGTTGCACCACAGGCGCAGGAGCAGAGTACGTCTGTTCCTGAATCACAGGCGCAGGAGCGGAGTACGTCTGTTCCTGAATCACAGGAGCTGGAGCAGAGTAAGTCTGTTGCACCACAGGCGCAGGAGCAGGAGCAGAGTACGTCTGTTGCTGCACAGGCGCGGGGGCAGAGTAAGTCTGTTCTGGATGACTGGGGCTGCGAGAAGGTCTGTTGCTGCACCAAGGAGCAGGAGAGGGATACGCATAGTCTTTGTTCCTGAACCACAGGCGCAGGAGCAGAGTTGGATGACTGGTGCCGAATCACAGGCGCAGGAGCGGAGGGATACGATAGGTTTGTACCACAGCAGGACAGGAGCAGGAGCAGAGTACGTCTGTTCCTGAATCACTGGCGCAGGAGCAGTGTAAGTCTGTTGCACCACAGGCGCAGGAGCGCTGTACGTCGTCTGTTGCTGCACGGGAGCGGGGGCAGAGTAAGTCTGTTGGATGACTGGGGCTGCCGAGAAGGTCTGTTGCTGCACAGGAGCAGGAGCGGGATACGCATAGGCTTGTTCCTGCACCACAGGCGCAGGAGCAGAGTAGCTTTGCTGAACCACAGCCGGAGCAGGAGCAGAGTAGCTTTGCTGAACCACAGGAGCAGGAGCAGAGTAGCTTTGCTGAACCACAGGAGCAGGAGCAGCAACTACAGGCTCTGGGGCATTGTATGTGGTTTGCTGCTGCTGCACCGTTGTCTCCACAATTGGTTCGGGAGCGGGCACGAACTGCTGCTGGACAGGTGTCGCTGGTGGCAGATAAGCATTTTGCACCGCCGTTTGGGTGGCAACAATTGGCTTGGGTGACTCATAGATAACTTGGGGAGCTGGAGCTGGGGCAGGGGCCTGCACTTGAACAGGAGCCGGAGCCGGCAGAGAGATTTGAACTGGAGCAGGAGCGGGTGCAGGGGCTGGGATAGAGACCTGGACTGGAGCTGGAACGGGAGCGGGAGCGGCAGACTGATATTGTCCGCCCGACTGAATGGAGAAGCTGGCCAATGGGATGGATGCCTGAATGGACTCCACCTGGGGGTATGATTGCACCTGGATCTGATTCTGATTCTGGTATTGGGTCTGGATCTGGCTCTGGGCGATCTGCTGGTAATTCTGGCTGGCAGAGAGCTCCTTCTGTGGCAGCGGGGGCAGGTAGTTGCGGTTCGATTGCAGCAGATGACTCACATCCGGACGGGCCTGAACGAGGGCCACACTGCAGCAGCAGGCAGCCAGAACGAGAAATGCAAAAGGTTTCTACAGAGAGCGAGAGGAAACCAACGAGACAAAAAAAAAAAATTAACACTTTTCACAAGAAAAAAAAATCAAGAAAAAATTTTTTGAACACAGTGGGAAGGGGATGGTGGATGGTGGCTGCTGGATGGCGACTTACCATCTTCACTTAGGTCACAAAAGGCTCGACGAGGAGGAGGTACTACACCAAACGAACGAGACGAATAAACTGATGCCCAGCTAAGAGCTCCGTCGAGCATTTATAGTTTACAGCGAGATTTAGCCGCTTAATTGGCTTGGTCCGCCGCTCATGCAAATGGTGGCAGATGGCAGATGGTGGATGGTGGATGGAAGATGACAGCTGCTGCCATCGCAGTAAGGTCAAGGGGGGGACACACGCGGCATGCTAATGCAGACGACCAATAATAAAATCATGCAAAACACATTTCATTTTGGGTGCTGATTAATAAATGACCAAAACGCACGATGCTCGGGCCCATGCCAACAATGGCACAATGCCCCAAGCAGCCCCAACTAACAGCCATAGAGAGGAGCCTTAAATCTCAACCTGATAACACAACCGGAGCAAAAAGCGAACAGGCGGAAAACAACTGGCAGAAACTGTGCAAAAATTGTATAAATATTTATCAGTCATTCGGCCGGCATGGGTTGCATGGGGCACTAACTGGACCAACTGGGCAATTGACACTTACGTTGGATGGCTGGTTGGCTGGATGGGTGGCTGGGTGGGGTGGCTGGATGCGTAGCGAGCTAAGTGCATTGACTTGAAACTGCATGGGAGAAGCGCATTGGTGGGTGTTGCATCGATTGACTGTTGGGTTGCGTAGATTGCGGGAGAGTGGGCTAGAAAATGCAGAAAAGATCTACAAGATCTAAATAAATAAATAAATAAATATTGAGTGTAAGAGAATGCAATTCGAGCATAGCCAAAGCAAAGTATTTGAGTGTAAATTAAATATGGGATTATAGATAGAATACAGAATTAAATTAAATAAATATATAAATGTATAACAGGGAAATATATAGCAGGGATAAGCGGAAGCTGGTTTAAATAGTAGGCGAAGCATCGCCCATACATTTTTTTTGGGTACACGATTTTTTGAGGGTGGATCTTAAATTTTTGTTAAGATCGTTCGGCTTTAGGAATCTTACTATTTATATTGTCTTTGGCATGACAATGCTGTGATAGGTTGAGGACAGAGGATGGGATTAAAAAGTTAAGAAAAAGTCCTGGTGGCCAAATAAATCTTTCAACTAATCACGGTTGAAAGTAACTTAATATAAAAAAAAAAAATAATAATAAATTATAATAATAATTATAATAATAATAATATAATAATAATTACCACAATTAATACTCACTGATAAAAATTAAATAAGCAAACATATAACACTACAAAAAGTTATTAAGTTAGTTATTATTAGCATAGATAATGGTGGTATTTATGGTGGCATAGCAGAGTATATATCCGTAAACTAAATTTATGTAAATATGTATTGGAACAATTAGCATTAAAACTAGAACAATGAGACGAAGAATTAAAAAAGTAGAAGTATTTTAATTAGGATAAAGACTTTCTGTATTTATTTATTGGAATTAAATAATAATGTATTAATTATAATTATAGGTAGGCATATTTGAATTACTCCACTGCTTGAAATATTTCCCACATTTGTCTTCAGTGATTAACATTTAAGTAATGGCAGTAAAGTTGCCCCATGCAGTGGCAGGCCTGTGCCATGCCCAACCTTCGGACATTTGCCACGGCCCATAAGTTACGCATGATTTGGGGGCCCCCTGCGATTGTTCACGGTGGATCTTGATACCGATAATTATAATTTATGCATGCGTTTCGCAGGCGTGTTTCATAGATAAATACATCGATTATGCGGTGGCTTATAAATGCGAAGAGCCCAAAAAAATTGAATCATTGTGTTGATAATAGTCTATTGGGCGATAATCGAAGGAGATATCCGAGGCGGATGGACAGACACGCGCCTCACCTCACAATCAGCCACGAAAATTGAGTTTAAAAAAAAATTAGAAACAAAGCCAAAATAGAAATAGAAAATGTCAAGTTGAAGGGCCCGGGCCCCCTGCCCACCCCGGGCACAGTTTGTCTTAATTATGACTAATGGTTGTGCGAACAGCCTCCAACTTCATATTCAACGGCAGCTCCATCTTCATCCACATCTACATCTACATCACGCCGGCTGGCATAGTAACTCTTTTGCGTACAAATTAAAATCAAGCTGCATAAATATTCAAAAAGGAGAGGCACAAGAAGAAACGAAAAAAAAATTGCAACAATCTTATGAATTGAATTGAATAACTTGAACAATGGAACTGTGGAGAAGTGGCAACAAGCAAAATGATTTGCATAAAACAAATGGCCAAAAAAGGTTTAAAGCTGCAAAACGATCAACGAGACCCAAAACTCAGACTGGAGAATCGCCAGAGATGGCAGTGGGAGTGGGTGGGAAGGGAAGGCCTCTAAGCAGCTACGCAGATAAACATATTTGCCCCTCCCTTACTTCATAGTCCCTTGTAAATCCATAAAAATGGCAGCTATAAAACTAAGTAAAAATCTTGCACAAAAACAAACAAAAAAAAACAAACCAAAAATCGAACCAACAAATAAATAAATAATTCAGTGGGGACATCAAGAAAGAAAAAAAAGATGAATACGAATTAACAAAGTCATTGTTTGTGCCTAAAACGAATCTTTTGATTACAATTTATACGATCTTTGAATGGGATAGCCAGCGCATAAAGGGCAATATGAATACATTTCAAATACTCGTACAGTACGAGTCGTACTGAATACTCGCACGAATCGAATTGAAAAAGCCTTTTACCCCCAAGTACCTATGCAATTTATTTATTATTTATTAATTTATTTATTTTAAATTAACAAGTTTATACTAATATGGCAGAGAAAATAATTAAAATTAAAAACAACAATAATAATTAGTAAAAGAGAAGAACAATGATAATTATGAATTCTTTTAATTTTAATCATTATAATTACAAATTAGAAGACGGGAAAATTTATATTTATTATCTGGGGTATTTTAAGGGATATTTTTGAGTAAAGGGTATCTTGCAGATTATTATTATTAAGAACTAAAAATCTATAATGATCGCGTTGAGTGTAATTTAAGCTGCAGAAGGGTACAACGAACGGGCGAAAGGTGCTGGTGCGAAAGCTGCTCCAAAAATGAAATTGTAAGGAAATTATAAAATAAATAAAAAATAAATATTAAAAATAAATAAATAAAAAATAAATAAATAATAAATAAATGATAAATAAATAAAATAAAATCAAATATGCAAATTTAATAATTTATTAATCAGAGCGATAAATCATTTGGAGTTTAACTAGTGAAAAATTCAGACAAAGCTGTGATACAGTGATTCAGAACATTTCGACTAAATTGGGACCAAATTTCAGTCTGAATAAATTCCATTACATCCCAACAAATATTGTCATGGGGTAGCACATTGAATAGCGCTATGGATCCACAGATAGTCGCTTAAAAAAATATATGATTATATGTATTTGTTTTACTTACAGAAATCTATGATACAAATGCAGCCGCAATAGGCCGCAATAGATTGATCGACTTTCTCCATTAAAGATTGAATGTTTATTTCACTCTTATCACTCAAATTAAATACAATTTCTTTCCATATTAAAATGTATTTACTATAAATAAAATAAAATAAATTACTTGTCCACTTCTCAGTTGATTTATTTCATACAAATTTATTATTAGATTTGACTCTTTTGCAGTTGGGTGCCCAAACTGGTCTTTGATTAAAAATATAAAATACTAAATAAAAAGCTGCGCCAATGTTCAGTATATTTCCACTAGCAAAGTTCTGTCTTGGAAATTTCTTCAATTATCATTATAGAAATGTCCCAATAGCCGACCAATTAGCATATGTAAATGTTTAGCCCAGCCATGGCTATTCCCAGCTATTCACGTCACTTCTTTGCACAAAAGACTATGCTATGGGCCGTCTGGTCTCGTCTTCTCTTTGTCAATGCTGATGCCAAAAAATATAGTTTCGCGATCCTAGAAGCAGACAGCGACGCGTGTAAGCGAGCACCTGCCACCTGCTACCTACCACCTACTAATCTCCTTTTGGCACAACTTTTATCGCCCCAGAGCCAATAAACTATGTATTCAATTGACTTATTTGATGACTGCAAACAAGCAAAGCAGCGACATAGTGTCTCTCTCGTTTATGGACATCTGTCAGCTCTTTGTCAGCCCTCCATTAGCATAAAGACAAACCATGTTGTCTGTCTCGCGTTTATGCCCATAAACCAAATAACAAAAAAAAAAACAAAACAAAAACTTGTTGCTGTTGATACACAAAAAATTGTTAATAATTTATAATGAACTTGTCGACTGCCTCGTCGACAGCCTCGTCGACAGCCTCGTCGACAGCCTCGTCGCTGCTCGTCTCTGCTCGTCTCTGCTCTACTCGGGCCATTCGAATGGGGGGGCCTATAAAACCCTCGTTACTCACTTGGCCCGCTGATAGACATAGCCGCCATTCGTGCCGTAGATGGTGTCGCCGCTTTGAGGCGTCTCTGTGCTTGGCTGCTCCTCCTCCTTCTCCTTCTGCGGCTCTGCTTGCTGCTGCTGCTCCTGCTCCTCCACCTCATCCATGTTTTTCTCCGGCTCGTCAGCGTATGGCTGCTGTGGTCCGGGCCCTCCAAAGCCGGGTCCGAACTGCTGAAATGGATTAGCGCCCTGTGGCGGTGGTCCCCCAAAGCCGTTGGGCACATTAAAGCCCGCGTAATTTTGCTGGAAGGGCGACTGCGAGCCAGGTATGGGCAGGCCTTGGCTCGTCAGGTAATCGGGCGGGAAGGGGCCGCCCTGCCCGGGGAAGGGGCCATTTTGTGTCGGAAAAGGACCTCCCTGTCCGGGGAATGGTGAGCCTCCTTGTCCTGGGAAGGGCTGGCCTCCTTGCCCGGGGAATGGTCCTTCCTGTCCTGGGAAAGGTCCTCCCTGTCCTGGAAAAGGTCCTCCCTGTCCTGGAAAAGGTCCTCCTTGCCCTGGGAAGGGTCCTCCCTGTCCTGGGAATGCACCTCCCTGACCAGGGAAAGGTCCTCCCTGTCCGGGAAATGGACCTCCCTGTCCTGGAAATGGACCGCCTTGTGGAGGGAATTGACCGCCCTGTCCTAGAAATGGAGCTCCCTGCGGTTGGAACGTGGGGCCCTGTCCGGGAAAGGGGAATGGGCCGCCACCCTGACCGCCACTAGGGAACGGACCAGCCTGTGGGAAGGGGGGTCCTCCGGCCCCTTGTGGCGGCTGTTGTATGGCCGCATTCGGTGGACCGCTTTGGGCTCCGCCAAAGCCAAAGTACGGCGGATAGATGGGCAGCGGGAAGTTGGGCGGCTGTGCGGGCGGCGGCGGCACATTGTTGCCCGTGGGCACCGCATAGCCCGGCGGCAGAGGCAGACCCACGCTCGGATAGAAGCCATTGGCAGCGTCATTCGAATGTCCCTCCGCATCGCGTTCGAGGGGCAACTCCTGATGATCGACGGACGGTGGAGGCAGCTCCTCCTCTGGCGCGGGCGGTATGTAGTCCTTGGGCAGGTGGCTGACATCGCATCTGCCGAGCAGCGGCAGCAGCGGCAGAGCCAGGATTAGTGGCCACAGTTGCATCTTCGGGGGCTTCGACGGGAACTGTGCGGCCTCGGCCCGCGCCGTGGCCACTTATAAGACTTTTATTCCACTGGCCGCTTGGGGCGCTTACATAAACTGCCCTCCGTTCCGACTTCATCTACGGGCTTTGGCTATGGCTTTGGCTTTGGCTTTGGGTTTTGGGTTCATTTCACTTTCCATTTCGCGAACGGAAATTGCTTTGCATCACAATACAAAAAAAAAAAAGGTTCCATAAATAGTCTCGCCCCCCCTGGGGTGGGGCTCGGGGTATGGACTAAACCATAAAAATTAATTAGGCAGGCAGACTTTACGAAAAAATAACCGAAAATCAAATAATATGCAGCCAATGAATGTCCAAAATAATTTTTGAATAAATCGCTGGCAAGCAAAAGAAATCATTTCTATGGAGTTCAAAGAAAGGCAAATGGTGGCTGGATTTTGTGGCAGAGGGAATGACAAAAGCTCCCTGGGAATATTAATTTAATTTCAGCAAGGATAAATGCAATTAAAAATTGTTTAAGAGCAGCTGGAAGAGAGCAGAATGCAAGCATTCGAAAGTCTCCTTTAAGGAACAAACAACGCTACGAATAGAGAGCTTTAGAGCTTTACGAGTACAGTTGCTGAACGCTTCAACTAGCTAAAGCTCCAACAAATATTACACTAAATATATTACATATTCGTTTTTATTTTGGAACCTCCAATAAAAAAAACCAAATCAACTTTTTGCACAAAGCTCGCTTTTTACCCTTCTTGCAAGCAAAGCTTTTATGCTGAACAACCAGACTTACAAACAACCCTCGAAAGCTGGCCTGCCAAAGCACAAAAGCTCTGCAAAGCTTAACAGCATAAAAGCTCACGTGTAAGCGCCGTTTGTAACCCAACCAAAACCCAACACAAAACTCTTCAATCATTTACTTTTTGTTTTTAAAACTTTTTCGTTTAATTTGTTACACGAAAAAAAAAAAAATGTAAAATGTAAAAACAGAAATGCACACAAAGAAAAAGAGTTATTTACATTGGATCAGTTTTTGCTCAGCTTCCTACTTCCTGTAGACATAGCCACCGTTGGAGGCATACTGGGTGCCCACATCCACGCTGGCCGAGGGAGCCGAGTAGCTCACAGACGGGGCGGAGTACGACTGCTGGTAGGCCGGGGCGGAGTACGACTGCTGGACAGCCGGACGGGAGTAGCTAACGGATGGGGCAGAGTAGCTGACCGATGGAGCGGCATAAGTCTGCTGGACAGACGGAGCCGAGTAGCTCACGGATGGGGCCGAGTAGCTCACGGACGGAGCCGAGTAGGTCCTCTGGACAGCTGGAACGGAGTAGGTCTGCTGCTGCACGGGTGGCAGATACTCATTGCTGGGGGCAACATAGCTCTGCTGGATGGCTGGCGCGGAGTACGTCTGCTGCTGGATGGCTGGCGCGGAGTACGTCTGCTGTTGGTAAGCCGGAGCCGAGTAGGTCTGCTGGATGGCCGGGGCGGAGTAGCTCACCGATGGCGCCGCGTACGAGTTCTGAACAGGTGGCAGATACTCGTTGGTGGGTGGCAGGTACTGGCTCAGGTGGCTCACATCGGCGGCCGCGCAGGCGAACAGGGCGAACACAATGAGGAATTTCTGCAACACAAAGCACACAAAAAACACATTACAAAAAGCACTTGAGCAAAAACAAAAACAAAAAAGAATACTAAAAATAATGGTAAAAAAAAAAAAAATTCCCCCAAATAGTTTTTTATTGGTGGGCTAAGAGCAGGCACTGACCATGTTGGGATTATGGCTGATAGTGACTGAACTGACGGGGGCGACTGTGCTGGACGAGCTGGAGGCTGAGACTGATGCCGGTCCCTAGAGCTGACTGCCAATTTATAGGCAGAAGAGTCAAAGAAAATCCCCCCCAGAGCCCAGTGGTAGACTTGCAGCGGAGGCAGCAGTCGCAGCAGCAGCCAAAGAAGCGAAGCGGCAGCAGCAGAAGTCGCGCTGCTACATATAAATTTTAAAGGCGAACAGCAACTGTCAGTAAAGAGATGAAGGAAAAATAGCAACAAACAAAAGTGAAATATAAATTTAATTTAACATAAACCAAATTAAGAAAAAGAAGAAAAAACACCAAAATCACAAACTCGTAAACAAGTTTAACTCATTTACAATATTTTTCCGCAACGGGTTTCGGCACGGGCAATGGGCATGGGGCATCATCAGGGCAACCAGGCAACGGGGCATCAAGCATGGGGTAACGGGGCTACTTTGGGACACCTTTTGGATAGGGTAGGGCAGTGGTATGGGTCTTCAATCAAGCCGATTAGCAGGAGGGAACGGGAACGACCACCGCCCCCCGCGCATGGGTTTTTTTTTTTTTATTTGGTTTTGTTGTTTTGTTTGTTTGTATGTGTGTGTGTTGTCTCGGTTGTGGGTTCCGCTAATTAACATTCAATTTAACACTTTATGGGCACACATGTACATATGTATATGAAAGCCCCCAACCTTTGGGGTTGACCGCAGAAATGGGGCTACGGCGAAGCCAGCGTGAACCCACAGCGGAAAGATTCATCCAAATGGCCTTGCCTGACAGCCAGATTGATTGCATCCCCAGAACGAGAGGCCGGAGCCGAGCACTTTCTAAAAAGCCATCAAGAAGACGCTCCCAACCGATCCGTGGATGGCATGGCCTTGAGAATGCCTTAGAGTTACGAGCGGCATGGCGAGCTTTACATAATAATCATGAGCAATACCGGTATGTATGTACATATGTATGACTCCAGTCGGGGGCAGTCGGGCAGCCAGCCCAGCCAGGGCAGTCGGGCAGATCAACTTTTACTTTGGCCACCGCCACCGCCACCGCCAGCGCCAGCGCCAGCGCAGATGCCCATGAACTTGAAATGGAACTGGCACTCCAGTGGCATGGTATGAATGTGGTGCGGGGGGTGGCATGACAGCATGTTGCATGTTGAGTTTCTGGTGCGTGAGAGCTGCTGCTAAGCGGTAACTGTAGAATCACGATGATCAGGTTAATGATGAGATCACACGGCCCACAGGGGACTGGGGGGCTGGGAGAGAGGGATACGGGGAGTAACTGTGTTCTATGTGAAATATTAAAAGATTTCGTAACAGAAATATCATGGCTGCGATCCTGTTTAGCGATCACGAACAAATCATTTTAATGTCTCGAACAAGTGAGAGAGCTTCTGGCTAGAAAGGGATTAGGGATTGTGTTTTACATTTGGCATTTGCAAGCAGCTTGAGACATTATGCGAGTAAATTAAATCTCCACCAGAGATTCGTTTAGTCTATTTACTTTAAGCGTTGCGTAATTAATCCGCGTTGCAGGGCACTCAACACGTAAAGGTAACTGCCCGCTCTCAGCATTGCAAGCCAGAGCTTCGCTCTCTCACAATTATTAGCTGCGACGCAATTAGCATTTGTAGCTTTCTCTTTCTAACACACACACTCACTCACTGCAGAGGAACACACACTCGACGTGCGCTCTTACTATCTCGCTCCTGTGATCCTCTCTGAGCGAGTCGCTCATTACACACGCGCTCTCTCGCTCGCTCTCACACATTACACATACGACAGGAACAACTGTAAGTCGGGCAGCTGAGACATGCAAGAACGTGCAAAAAAGCCAACAGTGTTAATTACACTGAGAACAATTCCAAGTAACAAAAAGATCGAAATACACTGAGAATAATATACGAGTATGTTTGTAAATATACCCATTATTTATTTATATATATTTATTTTGGAAAAAAAAATTAAAAACTTAGTAGACATAACCGCCGTTGGTTGCATACCGAGTATCAGAACCAGACGAGGAGGAGGAGGAGGAAGAGGAGGAGGAGGAGGACGACGAGGAGGACGACGAGGAGGAGGAGGAGGAGGAGGAGGAGGAGGAGGAGGAGGAGGGGGCAACGGATGTGTAGCTGGCCTCCAGCAGGTGAGCGGGCGTGACTGTGTTGCCACCAATGGCCACGGGCACATGGGTCTCGGCATTGAACTCCTCGATGCCGTTCGATTCGGGCTCCTGGTACAGCTGGGCAGGTGCTAGCTCGCTGACAGTGGCCGCTGCCTGGCCATAGACATTGAGGGACTCCGCCCGGAACGGAGCCACCAGCTGCGTGCTGCTGACAGCCTGACCCTGGGCATTGGCATACACGACGGACTCACGAAGTGGCGCCACCAGCTGCTTGCTGATCACAGTCTGACCTTGAACGTAGGCGGGAATCAGATCGGCTGGCTGATAGCTGCCGGCCGACGTGGCAGCCACGGAGGAGCCGACTGCAGCAGGGGCCTGCACCGCCGTTGCCAGTGTCCGGGTGTAGCTGTACTGGACAGCGGGAGCAGACTGGACAGCAGCTGTCTGGTACTCAGCAGGCGTGTAGGAGCTCTCATCACTGCCGGGCGCAGCTTCAGCAGCCAGCGGCGCCACCAGAGCCACCTTCAGCTGAGCGGGAGTGTATTCGGCGGGCTGGTAAGAGCTTGAATCTCCACCTGGAATGATGGTCTCCTGCTGCTGCTGCTGCTGCTGCTGGGCCTGGCCATACTGATAGTGTGCCTGACGAACAGCCTCTGGGATGAACTGCTCGGGCGTATAGCTGTCCCCACCGATGCTGGGCACAGCCTGGGCCACAGAGGACTCCACCTCCGCCTGAGCTGAAGTAAGCTTCAGCTGAGCGGGAGTGTACTCAGCAGGCTGGTAGGAGCTCTCATCACTGCCAGGCGCTGCCACCTCAGCGGCACTAGAAGATGCCACCTGAGCGGTGGCTACTTTCAGATGTGCGGGCGTATATTCGGCAGGCTGGTAGGAGCTCGAATCGCCACCGGGAATGGTGCTGGTCTGCTCTTCCGCTGCCTGCTGCTGCTGCTGCTGCTCCTGGACATACTTGTAGTGAGCCTCGCGATCAGCCTCTGGAATGAACTGCTCGGGCGTATAGCTGTCCGCTCCGATGCTGTGTGGAACAGCCTCGGCATCGACTTGCTCAGCGGACCGCAAATGAGCGGGGGTATAGCTGCTGGAGTCGCCGCCAAGGATTTGTTGAGCGGGCTGGTAGGAGCTGGAGTCGCCCCCAGGAACCACTTCGGCGGATTGGGTCTGAACGGAGGCTACTCTGAGGTTTGCTGGAGTATATTCCGCGGGCTGGTAGGAGCTGGAGTCGCCGCCAGGAACCACTTCGGCGGATTGGGTCTGAACGGAGGCTACTCTGAGGTTTGCTGGAGTATATTCCGCGGGCTGGTAGGAGCTGGAGTCGCCGCCAGGAACCACTTCGGCGGATTGGGTCTGAACGGAGGCTACTCTGAGGTTTGCTGGAGTATATTCCGCGGGCTGGTAGGAGCTGGAGTCGCCGCCAGGAACCACTTCGGCGGATTGAGTCTCAATGGAGGCGACCTTCAGGTGGGCTGGGATCAGCTCTTCAGGCTGATAGCTGCTCGAATCGCCACCCGGCACCACCGAAGCGGCCGAGTACGATGTGGAGGAGGATGATGAGGAGGAGGTCAGTCCATAGCCGCCATCTGCGGCGAGACCCAGCTTGAGGTGACTGACATCAGCCGCCACGTGGGCCACAAAAGCCAGAGCAATGACGTACGAGATTTGCTGAAAGAAAGCGAGAGGAAAATGAGCAGGAATTGGAAGTGGAATTGAAATTGGAGTGGAAGGGAGAGTCGGCCGGTGGTTCCCCCATTGTAGAACCGAAACTTACCATGTTTGGTCTGAATCTGTTAATGTTGAGAGGGGCGTTTCAGGTTTTTATACCCCGCACAAAAGAGGATTAGGGCCTATGCTAATTGGAGTTTCTGTTTTGGTTTCCGTACGAATCATTTTTTCAGTCTTCTTTCAGTCTTCCCATATTTTAGTTTCTTGCTTGATTTTTTATTAAATTTTTGTTTTTTAATTTAAATTTGCATAGCTAACATAACAAAAGATGAGTTGAGATGAGATGAGCCAGAGATGTGTGAGCAGATATGTGAGCAGAGCTGTGATCTTATCCGTTCGATCCAGTCGTATTCAACTCGACTTGATTAGAACCTCGCCAGCTGCGTTTGGCCTTTCCATCAATTAAACATTGGTCTGTCTCCCCCTCTCGGTTGCCATCTATTGATAGCTCTCTAATAAGTCGCTAAATGGAGTCACTGATTAGCGCCTGGCAAGTTCAGCCGGGTGTCATAATCGGCTTGCATCGACTGGCAACCAGTTCCACTCCACGCCACTCCACTCCACGCCACGCATTCGCCCCACACGTCCGTCCATTGTCTGTCCGCTAATTGGGCCCCAAGACATCAATCGATGGATACTTAAACGCACATTGAATGTTGGCTATTAGGCGACTGCTCAATCAAAATATGATTTATACACGTACATATGTACATATGTATGCATTTATTTCTGTATGTATTTCTGTATTTATTTCTGTATATTTTCTGTATTCTGTATTTATTTAACTCTCTTATTGGGCATTTAATGGTGCGTGCAGAATGAACTTGTGTGCTACCCTGTTTGAATATTTGTAGAGAATAATATTATATATATAAAAAGTAAAGCTAAAAGTAGCTCTCAGCTTAAGGCTCCTGATAAGTAGACCAAAAGTAGACTCCTACATATTTCTCCCCCTTTTGCATGCACCCTCAACGAGTGCAATTTTTAATACCCTGCCATCTTACGGGGTATTCTGATAGTTGTTTTAATATCCAATATTCTCGGCTAGATATTCGTTGTCTAGCATAATTAACGATCGTTGAACTGGGCGGCGGCGGCATCGTTGAAAACTCGTTTATGCACCAAAAAACTGTTTTGAATATTTTTTATTGATTTGTTTTGCTCTTCAGATTCAATCATTAAAATTGGGTTTTATATTTTAATTATGTAAAAATAAATTTGTATAATATTAATTTGAGGCATTATTAATATTATTAATATTGATTAATTAGTATTAAATATAAATATAATAGCAGATAAATTCGCTATATTTTTATTTGCATAAACTAAATTCATGTAAATTCAATATTCTCTCGGATATTTGCAGATAAATATCAAAAAGTTACCCAACATTTATTCAACTGGTAATTTTGTTACCCATTTCTTTTTGATTATATTTCCGTAATTATTCCATTCATATGATATTATTTGTGTTTATGTTTTGCTCAGTGTTCCATCCATCCTCTCTCCATGACGTCAGGCTCCACTATTACCTCATAAATATGCAATTTGCGGTGCTTAAACCCCCCAATCAACATTCGCATGCAAATAATCCATGGTTCTAGAAACAGTTTTTTTGTGGTTTTTTTTTTTGGGTGGGGACAGAGAGATTTCAGTCACAGTCTGAATCACTGTGAGTGGCAGCGATTCTTCAGAGGCTTTGGGCTTGGGATAACCAAAAACTGGTTTCCGAGTGATGAACTTTTGGGCCTGTCTGCCTCCAAAAATAAAACAACAACATACAAAATATATATCAGAGTGCTAATGTGATCGTGTCTCAGGCCTTAATTACATTATGAAAATTTATGCTTTAGGTTGTGTAATTAAAAAAAAAAAAAAGCCAAGAAAAAAGAATACACAATCAAATAGAATTCAGGCAACAAATTCATGAAGCCACTTCCAGTTTCTGTGTGTGTGTGTTTTAGGAATATGTCGAATTGATTAGCTTTATGTAAAATAAATTTAAGACTTTGCCAACAAATCAGGTTGGACCACAAAAGATTTATAATTATAGTGCGATCAGTAATAAATATATATAAATATATGTGGTAGGTATGTGGGTATGGGGTTTGCCTGTCCGCTGTTATTGTCAAACAATAGATCAAGTTTATATATATACTATATACTCGCATAGTCATATATTGAATATACAATTCGTCAGTCAAACTTGTTGCTGCTGGCAGCGGAATTCAGGAACTGAATTTAGGCAGGGATTCTTTCAATTATATTTGCTTACTGTGCGAATATAATTTGATAGTTGCTACAATTATTTTGAGCTAATCTTTGATAACTTCTTTTGGCTGTGCATTGATGATTCGGCACAAAATATGCGCCAAATAAATTATATACAAATGCATCAGAGGCTGAATATTTTGACAAAACTTTTACTCTTTTTTTTTAATAGAATAATTCTGCGTTCATTCTGCTGTTCGCTTTCTAGAGCTTGTCATTCTCTGTACCTGTATCCACATTTGCTCTTTTTGTTGTCTATTTGACAGGTGCAAATGTTCGCCTTGAGTTCGCCTCAGATGGGCCTCGGAGGCAGGCAGTGACCATAAAACAATTGCGGAACAAGGCGACAAACGCGACAAATTGTTTGGGCCAACAACAGGCTACAGAGCCTGGCTCCGCCAGAGCCATGTGCAAAATGATGTGTCTTAGAGGCTGGCTTTGTGCTGGCTACCTACCCCACCGGGGGGGAGGGCCCCAGTGTATACACACAGTGCATGTTGGTATGCAATGGACCGCTACGAGTATTTGCCAAATATTTTTGCCACGTCTTGGCCTGAAACCAAACCAAAGCCGTACCGAACCACCGCTGATTGTGTGCCCCAGCCGGCAGCGAACGTTCAAAAAGATAAATAAGACAAGTGCCGGCGATGAGCTCTTAAATAACATTTGTCAAATTGCAGTAGTGCAGTGTTTAACATTTTGCAAACCAAAAAAAAAAAACAAACAAACAGATAAACAAACTATTTCAAAAGTGATGTACACAGGCTGACGTTGTGGCTGTGTTTTGCAACTGCCCCGCCGGGCTGCGACGCTGCCTTGCCTTGTCTTGCCTTGCTGGGTGTGGACAGTCGGATAACGAACTACGAGCAGGTTTACACACTTGTTTACAGCGATTGATTGCATCCATAAAGCACTTCTTCATTGAATGGATTAGCTCATAAAATAAATATTAGATTTACATCTGGTAAGTCCATGCCACCACAATCAGTGCTGACTGTTCGCCCAAAACAAAACCTGGCTGATTCAACTTCAAATCAAAATCCGATATTTAACCCAAAATGCAGCTTCATTCGATTATAGAATTTTGTTTCTTTCTTTAATAATTAATTTGAATATTTATTTTAATGTTTTAGTATTTTAATTTTGTTTCGTTCTTTAATAACTTATTTTAATATTTATTTTAATATTTTCTTATTTTAATATTTTAATATAAAATCGACATTACTTATATTCTCTATCATTGTGTGCTCCCAATGCCCGATATTTGTCTGGCCCCCAGTCAAGATCATCGCTGACATATGGCAAATATATGCTCGGCTCTCAATGCTAGATCAGCATGAATGCGAAACTACCTTCAGCTACGTATCGAGTATCGAGTATGCATATTGGTAATGCAAATTTTGCCTGAGAGTTGCCAAAGGGCAAACACAAAAAATGCACGGCTTAATTGTTCAGATAAACATCAGGCGAAGCGCATGGAAAGGCATTTTTCTGCGATCCAAATTTTCCCGATTCAAAAACTATTCCGGAATATGCAGCCCTTAAAGAGAGCCCTCCGTGTTGGCCAATAAATCAGTGTGTTTCAATTATTGTAGCCAAATACACGTATTGAAACCGAAAGTCAGGGGTCGGGGATTTCTTTTCTTTTTTTTTTGTTTCCATCATTATTGTTAATTCGTCAAAAACGACAAGAAAATCAATCTAGGCGAAGGTCCACTGATCGGATTGCTGTGTACGAGTGCTGGATGCTCTCAGTGTGCGGCTGTCTGTGAGCTGTTTTTGGGGGTACCATGCGATTACGCGGCAATATGCTCGAAATTTGCGTTCAACACGAGTGCAAAATGGCATGGATCCAGTCCACACCGGACCCTGACCTTCCGCGATGAAGAGCGAAACGTGCCAAAGTGCGGGTCGAAATGTAATTAAATTTTAAACATTGTTTTACAGCCGCATTATCCATGAAAGTGAAGGCCAATGGAAGGAAGTCGCACCATGGGCTTATGCTGCGTTGCAAAAATTCATTTCAGCCGGCTAATAGCTGCTAGATGGAACTACAAGTAACTGCTGAAAATTAGTACAATATCGTGCAATAGATTTTCACAAACAAAGAAAGATTCTTTTAGCCCGTGCACTAAATCTTTGTCCACTTGGCGCATAATAATGCCATCATCTCCAATGACATCTGCCGTAAATTGTATCGCTTGTGCGGTGGGGAAAGGGGGAGTGGAAATCTCGGCTCGAAAACTAGTTTGATGAACTCAGCCCAGTCCATGCCCAGCCCAACCCAAGCCGAAGCCAAGTAGCTGATGGACGCGGGGTAAAACAACTTTTTTTTTTTTTTTTTTTTTTTGCTGATCGCGTAATTTGCTCAGCAATTACAAAATCAAGTTTTTCCCCTGCCACAGATGGTAGTTTCGATTACTGCGACGACACTTGTTCGGCTGGCAGGCGGCAGGCATGAAGATCGATGCGGGATCCCACTCTGATTGGCATAATTAGTGGCATTTGTGGCTGTCATCGCTGATTGTGCCGCGAAATGTCATACAATTTGTCAATTGATTTTACGATCGAGCAGCACAAAATGATGGGCACAACTGGGTGAGACCAATCGATGCTGTAGTCAAACAACATCAACGCCCAACCGCCACTAAGTGCAGCTTAAGGTGGCTTAAACTTTCAATTGAGACAATCTTTTATTCTTTCATCGTTCTGAGTTGGTTGTTGGAAATTCGAAGAGTTTGGTTTTTGCTTAATTTATGCTATTTTTTAATGGGGAAATAATATATGAGCATTTACGTGTAGTTGGTTAATGAAATTAAATAAATAAATTTAAAATAAAATACTTGTATTTTTCCACTTAGCCTGTTTCAAAAATTATATATATTTCTGCATATTATTTTGCATTGTTTCAGCGCAGATTTGCTCCATAGAGTATTCATTCTTCGCTGGGTGCGCCGTTTTTTTTCGCCCCAACACTTTTTGTTCACACACTTGAGCAGTTTCTTTTTTTGATTTATTCTGGTTTTTTGTTTTGGGTATTTATTATTATGATTTATGAAGTGAGGCTGAGGCGCCTGAGTTGGTCAGTCGCTGGGAAGCGGGGGAATCCCATTGACGTAGCCGCCGTGGTGCATCTTCTTGCCTGTGATTAGCATAATTTTGGCTATAATTAAATACTTTTTGTCTGCTGTTCATCGATTTTGTGGTATTATTATTTTTATGCCTGCGCAAAGCTTTAAAGAAATTCTAGGAAAAATGTTTTTCTGCTGGGAGCAGCGTAGAAGGAGAATTACGAGTAGCCTGCCACTGGGGCAAAAATAAAT